AATTACAGATCGATTAGGTAAATTGTGTATACCCCTATACCCATCTTCCGCTTGCGTGACTTGACTATATTTACCGCTGATTTATGTTCCTTAATTTTATGGCTAATTTATTTTCTTACATGTACAAAGAGACTAACAAATTGTTAGTTTCGAATCGTTATGTTCTTTTTAAATGATAGCTTTTACTCTTCTTTTTTATTTTTAAAAATTATACGAGTATGTAAACATGATTTTCTCCGATAGAATAGTGAAAACTAAAATCCAAAATGAATGAAGAAGAAAAAAAAATTATGAAATAAACTGAATTCGAGGTTCATATTGGTTGTTTTTTATTGGTATTGTAACAATATCTGGCATCCTGAAATTGGTGGCCTGATCTGTTGAGGCTCGATCCTTCCAGCGGGCCGATTATTGAAATTGATAGACATAGCTATAGACAAAGACGACAAAAGGGATTCGGAGGGATCCTATTGGTGGAAGCAGGTGGTGGCAATGGACATAGGAGTTAGGTAATGGACTAACTAACAGCAACCTTTGGGAGGCAAAACACAGCATAGAATTAAAACCTGAATTACTCAAATCAGTCACCAAAGTCAGTCAACTAAACACAGCAGAAAAGTTATACATATATTTTTAAACACCGCGCGAACGTTTTAAATGAGGATTTGGACGGACTAGACAACATCCTGTTCCGAGCATTGGAGTCCAAAGTTCGGCCACATGCATGCAGTGCGACCACGAATTCCGAATCAGTCAACAACCACTGAAGATGGGAGACGATTGAAGCTCCCGAAACTAGTCTGGCAATTAGACGTAAGTGAATTTGAGTTTTTTAGTTTGATTTTAGCCTTAGTTGATTTAATTTTAACAGCAACCTACTAAAAACCCGACAGTTAGTCCATCATTTTCTTCCTTAGTCTATAAGAACCAACCATGTCAACCAATAAGATCGCTCCATACTCCCTATGTCTTCTTTGTCTATCGCTTTGTCCATCAATTTCAATAATCGCCCCGCAGAGGGCACGTCCTTCTGACGACCGGAATCGCACGAGTCCTCCAGTGGCGTGGCGTGAATTGCGATGTATCGATTGTTCTGCCATTTGAAGCTATGGTAAAGAATCGATTATTAAGGTGTTCGCTGCGAACACCCTGTTTATCGATCCTTCTCCATAGGTTTAAATGGCATAACAATCGATTTATCGCAAAGCACGCCACGCCACTGGAGTCCTCACGTTTCCCCGCTACACTGCCGTGCTACGGAAAAACGCTGTATGACCCTTCAGGCGTTGCCAAATTTCATTAGATTAAACACGAAATTCCTGGTAAACTTATGCATATTTTTCTTCTAATTTTTTGGATAATTTTGTTCGCAATTCCACCCGAATGTTCTAAAAATTTTAAGGAAAAATATGCATTATTTTCCTAGGAAATTAACGTTTTATCGAAGGAAATTTGGCAACTTTCGAATGTTCATACGGCGTTCTTCCTAAGCACGGCAGTACACGGGGGTCCTCGCCCGGAAAAATTTTGAAAATTACAGCGAATCAGACGGCCGTTTTTCACAGCTTTTGACAATAATTGATTTTTTTAAGTTTAATTTTTGAGATCTCAAAGAGCGGTGTCGACGTATGTAAAAATACTTGAAGTCTCATTTCTTAATACATGTTTTTACGTGTACTCGTAATAAGCATTGACACATACGTACCAACACTTCACATTATAAAAGCAGTATGAATATTGAGTACTAGCCGTTCTGGACTTTTTTAGACTCTCTGTTTCCCATTTTTGAATTTAGCCTTCATTTTTTACAACATATCGATGGTGAAAGTGCAGAGGAGTGTATCTCGATTTCTGACAGTTTTGAGTTAGCTGCGCATAAACGTGTTGTTGAATATATCGTCTATCTACCAGTAAGAGATTATAATCGAAAAAAAAATCGGGAAGTCACTTAAAACCGTAGAACTTTTTTCGCGTATCTCGGGCTTAAGAGCGGAAATGCGTATCTCGTTCGGCCCCTTCATTTCATCCGGCGCGCCTTATGCACAACGCGCTCTCCTCAGCGTTTCCCCTGGTAAAAATTGCATGGCAGTAGAATATGTGTTCCAAAATACTATGGACCTAAAGCCGGCTATAAGATTTCCAATGGCTTCTGTAGCCGGCTGTAAGATTTCCAATAGCTTCTGTAGCCGGCTGTACAATTTATAGCCGATGGCGATTAAGCAACAGCCAGACGATAAAGTTTATGCTAAACGTTACTAATTAAGGATACTAGGACTTAGTTAGTTTTTAGCTCTATTTTTGTGCTGGAGTAACTTGATTTATTTTGCGAGGAAAGCTCCGTACTTTTGAAGGATGCTTGTCATTCCTAAGATGTTGGAGCGCCTTCAATTTCTTATGATACTGTGCAATACCTCTGGTGTGAAATAGTTGCTTCAGACGCCGTGGCACGCTGCGGCGCAGCGAGGCGGGCGGGCATTGAGCGCATTTGGGCATTTGACGCCTACAAACCTAACAGGAATACTTCACGCATCGCGCAATGCGTGAAGTATCCCTGTTAGGTTTGTAGGCGCCAGTGCGTCGCCGCTCCACTTTGTGTTAGGCTCTAAAATTTAATTTCGCGGAGTCAGCGTTTTTCAACTCATGATTTTGAAATGTTTGCTCACTCTGTATGGACTATTCTCATTTTAATTGATGAAAAAAAATATGTTTTAAAGGAAAATATAATTTGTGTTTTGTACATATTAAGGTAGTTCCGAATCAAACTTAATGATTTCCAAAGCACACGAATTTCTACACAATTTCTTATAGCCTTTATAGCCAATGGCGATAAAGTGTAAAGCCCGGCGATAGGAACTATAGCCCGACTGTATACTTTTTCATAGCTTCGTATAGCCCGGCCATATGATTTGCTCCGCTTTCTACAGTCAGCTACATGATTTTCAATAGCTATTTTTAGTCGGCTATAAGAACTCCTATGGTATTTTGAAACGCAGCTCCTATCGCCAATTTTTACCAGGGTCCCGCTAATAGCATACATCAGTTGATCAGCTGCTCTGTGTTTTTATTTATTTTCAGGAATTCGCTGATTTTGAAAAGTTGCTAAATGCTTATCACTTCAGGGCCCTCCAGTATCATTTTTTCATAGGTACCTATTACTAGCGGCGCGCGACGTTCATGTATGGGCCAACGCAGTCATATGACACGACGCGACAGTTCATCACAACGGTCAGTTGTATTAGAGTCAATAGAGTCATACAATATTTCATCTATGGTATTAGATCAACTAAAGCTCCTAAACAAGTTTTAAGTATGAATAAGCAACCTAAATTTCTTTCCAATTTCAGATCCCTTCCAGGGCCGCAATATCCCCCGGATATTAAGCCTAAAACAACATACAAAAAAAAAAAAAAAAAAAAAAAAAAAAAAAAGTATGAATAAGCTCTATTTTTTATCTTAATGATCAAGAACACGTTCAAAACACTAATTGCAGAAATACGTATCTCGTGATTAAATGTCATTTTCCAATCATACAATGCTTGATCCAGCCGTATGAGATCAAACTAAGGCCTCCCATAAGGAATTGTAAGCGCGAAACTCTCATTTCGGTCTTCAAATGATCCAAATCCACCAACAACAGGTTTAAAACACTCATTGCGAAAATGCGTAACTCGTGATGAAGTGTCAATTCTTAGTGCCGAAAACGCGAATCTCGGCATTTCTGTCGTATTTTCTAACATTTCGAGACATTATTCAAAATGCTGATAGAGTCTGGAAAAGCATCTTATTCTTGCTATTCTCAAGAATTATGACCCTCTACTGACAATGAGGAGGAATGTAGACAGTTTTTTTTTTACTCTCCCGGAAAATCGTGTATTCCGAGAAACGCACTTCGTGCACTTTCACAATCGACGTGAATATATACCCTGCTACTTTCTCGACCCATTGAAGTTTTGACGCAAACGCAATTGATCGACATGAAAATTTTTCAACGATGAGTAATGCCGTTCAAATCATCAAAAATTTATATAACGTGAGCTTTTAATCTTCTCTAAAAACAGAAAAATGTTATTAAATCTGCAGAGATTCTCCATGTAAAGTATGCAAAAAATGCTATATTTTTGCTTCAATTAAGGGAATGTACCATAGAGCATAGGCGATAGACTATACTATAGTTGTTTGATCGAAGGAAGCAAACATCATGTTACGCGTTGAATGAACTTTTGTTCGACGATAAGAATTAGCGCCAAAAGAATAGGCGCCCGCCCCCTTGTCGATTGAGCACAGGGGAGAATTTCATGAGCCGCCGCCCGCGGCGCACTATGGTCCAGAACTCAAGAATAGGAAGAAATAAGTTGTATAATGACTGAAAGATCACGAAAGTTTCGTTACTTGTGTTTTTTGAGTCGCTAATTTCTAATTTGAAGTCATATTGCCAAGATTTTAACTCCCTGACCTAGTAATGTGGGGAAGTTTATGGCACGCTGCGGCGCGGCGTGCTGCCAGCTTGAAATGCGCATTGGCGCCTACAAACCTAAGGGGATACTTCAAGCATTGCGCAATGCGTGAAGTAGCCCCTTAGGTTTGTAGGCGTCAGTGCGCGTTTCGTGCTGACAGCACGCCGCGGCGCTCCCGGCGGGCGGGTGGTGAACGATTTCTAACGGGAAGAGCTCCCTGGCGGAAAAACTCTTGTATCGTATAATTTTTTTTTTTCAATTTTCGACTTTTAAAATTCTACACTGGTCGTGTATAGTAATTAGAACTCAACAGTAGACGAAGTATTATAATGGAAGGCGGTTCGTGCGTCTTGCACGCCGCTCATGAAATTTTCCTCTGTGCTCTGTCGGCCCCCTTGTTCGAAGTCCGTCAAATTGAACTTGGCGCTAAATATTTGAATTCACCAATAACCGCGCGCGCGGGAGAAACCGGGCGATGGATGATGAACGTTATTGGCTGGGACAAGGTTATGTTTATGTTTTGATAAATAATTCCTCACCCTCACATGTTGGTGTGGCACGTTGTGGCTGTGATACTTGTGTTACTTTTAATTTTTGCTTTAAGTCTTCGAGTTATTTAAAATATATTTGAGATATTTAATATCTCATGCTCATTCTGCGCTGTGTGTCTTGCTCTTGATTCTATGTCACCATGGCTAATGAGACCACTGTGAGCTTTAAACAGCTCAACTTGAATTCTTGGATTATTCGACAGTTGCAGAATATTGGTAATTATTTACAGTTTTTTCCAGTAAAGTCTTTTCTCATACACCGATGGATCTCAAAGAATGTTGAACTCTAGAGGTGTTTAGGAGGGAAGGGAGATTCTTTGCTGTAGGCATGCAGTGCTGGTGATTTCTACTTCACAAGAATCCTAAATCCTGGGATTTACGCTCACAGCCTGACTTGTTGGTCAGATAATTTTATTATTAAAAGCCTCCTGATAGAGCGAGGAAATCATACCCCCTCTGCCGAAGTCACATATTGAGTGTACAAGCAAGGCGGATAAAGAATGGTGATCGCATTTCATACCCTCTAGACATCACATAGCATCGGGTACGTTTTGGGTACATCCTGTTTGCATGGCAAAACATGTACCCTCTGCGAGCCTTTAAAGTGGCGGCTCAACTCAAAATACGATCCCCTTTCTTTATCTGCCTTGGTGTATCAGCTATTTAAGCTACGATCTGAGAATTAGCTTCAATAACCTGTTCTGTGTTAACCGACAGTGTGGCATAAAGACATAAAAGCCCCTAGAAATGGAGGAACGCATGGCATCATTCAACATAAATGTATGTGGTAACCATTGGGTCAACTGATGAGTGATGCATGGTGGTTAAAGTGACATTTGTCTCTTCTTTTTTTTCCCCATAGTCTTAATTTAGATGATAGAAATCTATAAGTGATGTTTGTTGTTGTTCTTTTTTATCTACCAGGTCTAACAATTGCAACTCCCATACAGAGTCACTGCATTCCTAAAATTTTAGAAGGAAAGGATTGCATCGGATGTGCTAAAACTGGTAGTGGGAAGACTCTAGCTTTCGCGATACCAATTTTGCAGAAACTATGCGAAGATCCATATGGAATATTTGCTCTTGTGCTTACGCCAACCCGAGAACTTGCTTATCAGGTGAGCCATCTATGTTAATAATCGAGAAGCTGTGTCGTTCGCTGATGTACACAACATCATAGCGAAAAAAGACTCCAAAGGAAAATTTGGATGATCAAAATTGCTACTCACAGATGAGGCTGAGGATGTTGAAATCACTGTTTTCAGATGCTTGTATGTTGGAGATAAGACTCATAAAAAGGAAGAGCTGTCTTTAATCTCTAGTGAACTTAGCTAATCTTTGAAGTATTCAAAAAATTATTACAATCCCTGGAAACTCACGAGTTTTTAGAGACAAATTAAGTGAAAATCTATCAACCCTCACTGCTTCTGTTTTAAATTTCAAAATTGTCTCCGTTTTCCTGTGATACCATCAACCACCCGGAGGAGTGACTTCATTTTCAGCTGTTATGTAGAGAAGTACATTTCTCCGCTTCCCACTAGCTTCTGTATTTTCCCTATGTCTGACAAGGGTAATTGATTTTTATCAATCCCTGACCAAAATTTGCTGTTTGAAGGATGTTTGATGACTCATCAAAATTCTCAAAATGACCACCACTTTTTCTATACATTATTTCAGATAGGTGATCAGTTTTCCGTTCTAGGGAAGCCCATGAATTTAAGGTACACTGTCGTGACTGGAGGAATGGAAATGTTGACTCAAGCCCAGGAATTACGTCAAAACCCTCATGTTGTCATTTCGACTCCTGGCAGGTAACCTTCTTTTTTTACTATTCACTATCTTCAACTCTCAAAGCTCAATGTGTTTGATTGTGTAAATGAAGCACTTCAGCACCTGTACTTTTGGTTGTTATAAACTTTAATTTAGTTGGATGGTTGACAAGGTTTTGGAATGAAGCATTTCCAAGCTGGTCTTATCCCCTAAACTTTCTTAAGTAACAGATTAGACCATGAATGCCTTCCAAAATCAATTCTAATTCAGGTGCATACTTATTTTCACAATTGTCATCGTTTTGGGTTCTCAGTGCCCAAGAAAAATAGAAATTACTGAGGACTGAATGTGGTAGAAATCCGATGAACAACTTCAACGATTCAAGGCAAATCTCTTAAATTTTAGAAATTTTTGGCACATTATATCTTTGGTGATTTTTAGAATAAAAAACAAATAGTCTGCTTTAAGAAAAGAGTGTGGATATGCTGAAAAAGCATGGATTTCGAAAAGTTGATATGGAAGCAAGGAAAATGTATGATTTTTCAAAGAAAAGCGTGAAGAAATGAATTGTTTGTGATGAACTCTAAAAAGTAATCAGGAGGTATGCAATTTTTCTAATTTTCACTTTGTCAAAATCCTGATTGGAGCATTCTCACATTCTAATTTCCAAATCTGATTTTTCTTTTTTTTTTTGCAAGAATTTGCTCTTATCAAAGTTATGCATGTAAGGAAAGCAGAAAGTGAGGACAGCAATAAAAAAGCAATGATTTCTAGAAACATTTGAAGAAAGAAAAAAAAATAAGAAAAAATGGGGAAGTAGGTGTGCAAAATGAAATGATGTTTGTGAAAGATACTCGTGAAAAACCCTCCAGAAAATTTTAAGTTTTGACTTTTTCGGTGATGTTATGTAAATTCTGCGATTGCTTTGCTTGTAAAAACCAAAAATTCTCAAGAAACTGGAAATTCCGAATACACTATAAACCTGGAGTAACCTAGAGAGAACCTATTGTAAAACGTGGAAGGAAGGGTCCTCTTTTTTTTCATGAATTTAACGAATTCTAATAGTATCACCCAATTTCTGTGCTTTATTGTCACCTTCTAACTTTTTATTGTGTATTGTTCTGTTGTTGTATTCTGTTTCTGTTGTATTCTCCTTGTTCAAACTGCTCTTGATCTTTAGAAAGTCAGATCAAACCTTCTCGCAAATTTAAAATTTTGTGTAAATAAATAAAAGTTTCTTTTTTTTTATGAATTGCAGACTGGCTGATCATTTGGAAAGTTGCGATACCTTCTCCCTGAAGCGAATCAAATTTCTAGTTCTTGATGAAGCAGATAGACTTCTCGGCGGTTTATTTGACAAACAGATCAAAACTATCTTCTCAGCAATCCCGAAAAATTGCCACCGTCTCTTGTTCAGTGCTACAATGACTGATGTGTTAGAAACTGTGAAAGAAGTGACGGATAAAGATGTATGTCCTGTAATTTCTCAATTCAAGAATCATTAATATTTCAAGCATTTTCATCCATAATGCAGGATGATGCAGACCACCTTTATCAGGCTTTTTTTTTTTTTGGTTAGTTTAGGTCCGACAAAGTTGGCGGCCTCAGGAAGGACTATAGTATTGACCCTGAGGAATTCAAGTTCCATTGTGCAGAAGCCCTCCCAGGTCCCTTAGGAGGGTAAAAAAGAGATCCTGACTTTGTAAGTCAGGCCAATTTTAAAATAATTCTACAGACAACTTCCTTTGAGTCAAACGCTTTTAAGTGGAATTTTCCTCTAAGTCAAACTTTTTTAAGGTCTAGTCAAATTTTTCATAAGAACAAAAAGCCCTCTAAGTGAAATTTCTCTCCGTGTGGAAGTAGCAATCCAGTTCCAATGCAATTTGACTTGGAAGAAGTTAACTGTAGCAGAATCAAAAAGTTCAGGAAATTGTATCCTACTTTTAAACAAAAAGTCCTAAATAGGCGCAACCCTGACCAAAGTACTGACTCCTAAAGGCGGGACCTACTTAATGTTCTTTGACTGACAAAATAGCCAACATTAAAAAATGTGGTTTTTTTTTTTTAAAAAAGAAATCAAACATAACTTTATTAAGATTGATATCACTACCAATTACATCGATGGTATCTATTAGCTGTGCTTAATCTCACAACCAGGGTTATAAAGACAATGGGCCTGTTGCAAACTTTTGCTAGAGCAAAAATAAGAGTTGTTTCTTATAGATAATGCCTCAAAAATCACGATGAGCGCATCGGCAAAGTTTGAAATGCACTCATGACTTCACAGTCTGCGTAAGAAATTTGCGGTTTTTTGAGCTTCCCGCTTCAAAAACGATACTACGGCACAGGTGAACATTTTGTAAGAGGAGTCGTTCCGTCGTCGGCAATAATCATCATGGCCGACGCCAATCCGCCAAAACACGTTTGAAGGGACGAGATAACACCTGAACTGGATTAGACCAGATAACAATCGGTGTGTTAACGTTCATATTTTCCACGCCCGAATTGGTTGACCTTGAAGTCTCCTCGAATTACGCGCGGAACTGCGCGCAAGCGTCGGTCATGATGAATATCGCCGACGATGGAGCGACTCCTCTAACAAAATGTTCACCTGTGCCGTAGTATCGTTTTTGAAGCGGGAAGCTTAAAAAAACGCAAATTTCTTACGCTGATTGTGAAGTTATGAGTGCATTTCAGATTTTGCCGATGCGCTCATCGTGATTTTTGAGGCATTATCTACAAGAAACAACTCTTATTTTTGCTCTAGCAAAAGTTTGCAACAGGCCCATTAACGTTAAATATGTGTGCTAACCATGTTACCATTATTTAGCCAGTGGAGCAGCAATGCCTCCACTCCAATGTTCAAATATAAAAAGAATTTAAATTGAATTGCTTCTCATGAGCTCTCAGGATTATGATCCCGCATAAAAACTATTGTATTGTCAGTAACACAATTGACTTGGTAATACAACTATTCTCTACGTATCTATGTTACGAAAAATTTTAATATGTATCATAATGCCAGAAAAATCTTCAACATACTCTCATTTGACCTTTTATCAGTAACACTTAATTTTTTTTTTTTCTTCTTTTTTTTTTTTCTTTTTTTTTCTTTTTTTTTGGGGGGGCTGAGAATCTATAGACTGTAGACTAAAATTGAATCTGGACGTGCAAAAACCGCTAATGTCCATTTTTCCAGTCTTCAGTTTTTTTGAGTTGACAATACTTTTAAAGAGTTGATACAACCAAAAAAGTGATGAAAGGACTCGTTTTGGAATTAAGGTAACCCGGAGACGGGTATTAACGCTTTTTCGTGGTTGCATCCAACTTAGAAAAGTATTATCAACTCAAAAAAACCGAAGACAGGAAAAGTGGACTTTAGCGGTTTTCGCACGTCCTGATTCAATTACAGTTTTGTCTAAGTTTACAGCAGACTTATTTCACTGATGTTTTTTTGAAATTTCCCAGGTATTTGTCCATATTTCTGAATCTGAAGTGGCAACAGTAGATGAACTGGAGCAGCTGTACGTATTATGTCCATTAGACATACGAGATGGTTACTTAGTTGAAGTCATCAGATTGTACCGAGAGGAGAATCCCAGAAGTTCAATGATTATTTTCACTGACACTTGCAAGTAAGTCTATCAGGCAGGTGAACAACTAAATTTTACAAACTCTTACTTTTACTCTAATAATAATTATATTTAAAATGATATCAGAGGCTTGTGAGAATTTCTCAATTCCTTGAATATTTTGGGTTTCATTACTTAATTTTGCTTTTTCATCTCTGACCTTTCTTAATTATTGATATTGTTGTTTTCATTAATTGTCGTTGGTATCAATCCCAAATTGCCTGTTTGTTCTATCAAGATTCGGTCATCAATGATTATCTATTTTCTGCTAGTCATCACTTTTAGAATCTTAAAGTATTGGTGAGAAAAAGTAAAATTTGCTATAAGGAAACTTTAATAAGTGCTTCAAATCTTAAGGTTGAAAAAAGCGTATTTTATGTTAGAAGGAACTAAGTTCAAATGAATAGGTCAGTTGCACGGAAAAGATGCTAGCCAAATGAATAGGCCCTCCATAGGTAAAACAACACTAAAATTAAGATGGGCTCGCCAAAAAAGTCTGGAGTATATGTACTTTTCCGTGGTCAATTTGTGAAATGTTAAACACACTTTTTCAAATTTTCTTTGTCTGTTGATAATTTTTCCAAGTTGTCAGCAACCTAATATATCTATATTATTGTGGGGAACGAATCCCACCTCTATGGTCCCTACGTATCAGAAATGCACTCAGTCTTGTCGCGATACCGCAATGCGTAGCATTGACTGAGGTATTTCTGATAGGGACGGAGAAAAAGACTTTTCGGGAAGAGGTGGTGGCAGCAAGAGGTGATGAAAGGAAAAACACAGATTTTCCCTCTGACGAATTCAACAGGTCACCCTTGAGAGGGAGTAAAACCGGGGCGAAAGCGCAGTCGATGCCACAGCTCCCTTCGGCATGAATTTCCAAAACACTCTGTCTGAACTCTCTCGACCCCGCGATGCGACGTCCGCCGATCGCGAATCATCGTTAGTACGTGCATGCACTGTTCGAGGTGTGTATCAGCGAAAAAAGACGAAGAGTAGCGTTGTCGAATATCCTCCTAAAATGGAAAGATTTTATGGCGGATATTCGGGAACGAATACTTCTCCGACACTACAAGCTCCGAGACCTCCTAAATTTGCATTTCTGGTAATGCTTAGTTCCAGCGTTCTATCGGGCTGATTTTCATTATTTTTGCAGCTATTGACAGGCAATTGTCTCTAGATGAGCCCGCTCTATTCAGATTTTGAAAATATGACCCAGGTTTTTTTATATTACGTGGTAAAGTTGTGAATTCTCCCATTTAAACATTGTAATATTTTATTTTTTTTCATAGTTTGTTTAAGCGTTGTACTGGACCGATTTCCATGATTTTTGCGGTTATCGACAGGTGATAGTTCCTAGATGAGCCTGCTCTAATCCGATTTTGGAAATAGGACCCAGCGTTTTTTACAATCATGTTATAAAAGTGAGCGAATTTACAGAATGCTCTGCATCTGCTTCCGTAGTGGGGGAGTAGCCTGCGCAACTGCTCTATTCTATAAAGAGAAGATTCTTCCTCATCAAATTAAGGTGGGCGGTGGCGGAGTCATTTAAAGCGTCAGACGCTTCAGCATGGAGTCTTGGGAAGTGGGCTTTATTCCTGACTCTCTGACCTTTTAATTATAACCTAATACTTCATTTCAGATTTTTTGGTTTCAGGAACTGTGCTCTCCTGTCCATGACTCTCAACGACATCGGTTTCACAAATGTTGCGCTGCATGGAATGATACCTCAAAAACAAAGATTGGCAGCTTTATCAAAATTTAAGTCTAAAAATGTAAAAATCCTAATTGCAACTGACGTTGCATCTAGAGGTAAGATCGCTCACAGATTGGATACAGATTTTTGTATTTCATAATGGATAAGGAAATCTACTTTCTATGGTCAAAATCAAATGATAAATTTAGGAAAATTGGAAGAATTTTAATCGTTCACTTTCCAAGCTGTTCAGTCATATGTTACAATTTGATGGTGTAAGTCCGCAATCACATATCTCGTTTGCGGTGTCTGGAAATCGCCTTTATTTTATTATTTTAAAGGAGAACAAATTGACGTCATTCCATGAAGTTTTTGCAGAATTTTCTTCGCGTGGAGAAGAAAAATCACGGCAGTTTTAAAGAATTGCCGCCGAGTAGTTTTCCGTTTTAAAAATGAAGTTTGACAGGAAGTTTGCAACGTTGCAAACCGAGTTATGTGATTGCCGACTTACACCCTCGAATTGTCCTACATGGAATATCAGGAGTGTCGTTCCAATGTTACAGATGGGTCAACGATCTAACTTAACTACAATGGATCAGTGGTAACTGTTTTTTAATTCTACTCTTTTAATTGACTACATTTTGCAATTAAGTCCTCCAATTTCTGGCTCAGTTTAGAAACAACGTATGTACCATTAGTTTTCCTATGCACATAAGTGCTTTTACGGATGAGCTACTGTTTGTAATTTCTCATTGCAAAATGAGGTCCAATTCATTGTCTGAATATCTGGGATGAACTAAGCTTCTTGCAATTTTTTTTAGATTTTTCTAAACCCAAAATAGCTGTGAAACCCTGTTTTGAAAATGCTACAAATGTACTCCTTTGAAACAATATTTTTTGGGGTTTCTAATGAAGCAGTCAGGCGGAAGAAACAGCATTTGCTGATTGGCTGAACTGAGCTTCAAGCATTGCCTTGTTATGTCAGCTCAATTGTCGGCTTTTGATTGTTCGGATTTTCATTAGTTTTTTCTCCCTGTAGAAATGATATTTTAAACTTTTGAATGAGCTTTTTGATTTTTTTTTTTTACATGACTGTACACAAGAAAAACTATATTACAACCCTACTCAAATTGGTTACCATTGTTCATTGCAATAAAATGTTCAGAAGGTTTTGAAAAGTTTTTTCAATCTTTAATTTTATTTATCAGAACTGCTTGGAAAATTATCAAATTTGGTTTTTATAGTCGCACCTTTTTTTGATCCAAGTCATTAATTGCTAAGACACACTTGTCCTATTTCTTGATGGAATGGTACCATGTTGATAAAAATTAGTTGCTCCTTCCTTTTGTGTCGGCTCTTTGGTGTGACTGATTTTCAGTTCAAGTCAAGATGTGGATGCATGTACATGAACTAACGGAAAATACTGGAATTTGTTGTTGAACTCACATGAAATTTTACCTTTCAACAGGCTTGGACATACCGCAAGTTGAGTTGGTCATCAACCACACGATACCGAATGAACCAAAGACATATGTTCATCGAGTAGGACGAACTGCTAGAGCTGGGCGCGGTGGAACCTCAATTTCGTTGGTAACACCGCATGATATCAAATTAGTTAAGGCCATTGAAAAAGTAATCAACATGAAAATGAAGGAGTTCCCAGTTGATGGTAAGTTTACTATGAACTTGACGTACCACCTGTAATTCAATTCATATGATTGAATTTACCTTCCTTTTATTACATGCTGAAAAAAGTTATTACAACATAATGTTAACGGCTAATAAAATGCTTCATTCTGCAAGTTTCTGGATGCCATAAAAGGGTATCCAAGGGTAAGGGCACCAAAATTCTCCCTCACAGATTTTGAAGTTAATGGTCTAAACCCTTCCAGAAGGTCCTAAAATCATGGTATTGGGCAATTTTTACTTTTCGGCCTGAACCACCCTCACCCCCTCCATCCAGCCCAAAAAATCCCATTTTTCGAGGAATTTAAGATATTTTCACGTTATATTTCATATCTCTCGCGTTTTTCCACGGAAATTCACCAAAATTTCATCATATGTACATCAAGCCTACTAAATTCTTGGGTACAAAAATCAAATTCATTGAACCATACGAATATTTAGATCTCTAAAAAAATTCGAAAAATTGTAAATTCTCAAATTTTTTCTCAAATTTTATCAATTAAAAAAAAATGAGAGTACATCTTTTTCGTTGCCCTTAAAATGTAAGCAGGATACCTAGTTGTTAGCCATAAGAATTCAAGCCCTCAGGTTTGGTGCGTCTCACCAAAAAATGTTTTTTTTTTAGCGCCAAAAAAACAGGGTTTTTTTACATGCTGCGAGTAACCAATACTGTGTCAGTGATTTTGACAGTTTTGGCGCCAAAAAACAGGTTTGTTTTTTTTTACATGGGACACAGGGTCTCAATCGACCGGAAAAATTGCCCAAAACCGTGATATTAGGATTTTATAGAAGGGTTTAGACCATTAAATTCAAAATCTATGACCAGAGGCATTTTGGTGCCCTAACCTTGGAATACCATTTGACTCTAAATTGAAATACAAGCGAGTGGAAAATTCAATTTTGAAAAATATTTGTAAGATCCTTATCTTTTGTCAAGAGAATAATGGTGGCTAACAAACAACACCGCCTATCTTCAAACTGATGATTTTGCAGAACGAAGAGAAAACTTCCCTATTTTTGTAATTTTAAGGTTGGACTTGCAATTTTTTCATACATTACAATGCCATTGCAGCGTTCTCCTACAGAATTGGATAATAACTAAAATTACCAGCTTACGTATGTTATACTGTAGAATGCGGGAAAGTTGGTAACTTATTTTTGACACAATTGTTAGTTAGGCAGTATTTTTCGTTAGCCCTTGATGCAATTTCTATTACAGGTATCAGAGGTTGAAGCAGTCACTGAAAGAGTTTCTTTACTTTTGAAATCTGTGCAAGATTTGTTTAAGATACGAACATTGATTTTTGCATTTTGTTGTGTCAGTATATATTTTTGGACCACTAATTCTATCAATACCAATCAAAGTACGATTTTTTATTGCAGGAAAGGAGGTGGCGAAAATTTTCACAGAAGTTGTCGTAACAAAGAAAGCGTCAGAATCAAAATTAGATGAATCTGACTTCCATGAGAAACGGAAAATACATCGCCGAAAAAAACTGATTCTGGAAGGAAAAGATCCAGATGAAATCGAAGAACAACTTAAAATGAAAAGGAAAGGCAAGAAATTGAAACATTTTAAACATGCCAAGAAGTCTAAGACAACTGAAGAAAAACAACTGTAGCCCTGGCTGAGTACTCATTCTTATCCTTCAGTCAATTTCATGAAGCAGTCCAATCTAATTGCTCAGGGAGAGTTTAAAAATTTTATTTCATGAAATTATTCTAGACACAAAGTGATGATGAGAACCCACTTTGAATTTTTAACCTCATGGATACTGATCTGTGTCATGCCAAATGAGGCACTGTATCATAAATGAACTTTCACTTGCGATTACATTTTTTAAGCGTAAAACTTGACAAGCACACTGTAAACATAGAATAGTGCCTCAGAAACCGAGAAATGCTGCGTTTTAAAAGTCAATTTGTCCGCAAAGAGGTGTGTGAAAAAACGGCCAAAATGCCCAAACGTATTCTCAAATTTTGAATGCTTGTGATAAAGGAGCTTTTGAGATGCCTTGAACTGGCCGCAGTTTTGCTTAAAAACGCTGTGTTGCGACGTTGCCATTTTTTAAAGTGTGAACCTTTGAAAATTCATAACTACTTTGCATCTCAACAGAACGTAGAGAGAGAGAATGTAAAAACATCTCAATGGATATCGATGAACTTTTTTTTTAAAATGCTCCTCTTAAATAGAGCTTTCTAACTGTATGTAGTTATTTGGGTTTACTTACTTTAGATCGCAATAACTGTTGGTCTTTCAGATGGAGAAATATAAAACTCGATTTCATTTCTCGAATTGAGGTTATTAAAAAGGGGATTTTTAGAGTTTAAAAATGATTAGTACGGCGGCATAAAGGTCTGTGGTTTATTGGTGGATCCAGGTTCAGGAAAGAGATGTCGTGACATGGCGTTGTGATTTCTTGTGCATGGTTCGTTAGAGTAAAAGTTAAAAAAAAATTTCTATCATTCACAAAGTCTTTTTGGATTCGAAAAATAGAGTGAAACAGGAGTTGATAACAGTAAACTTCTGTCTGCCTCCTAAGAACCGGAGACTTACCGCCCCACCATTTATCTTATAACTATCATTTGCAAATATGTCATCATTTTGTTATCAATTTGATTATTTATTTTTTTCTAGGTCTTTTCCTATTTCAATATATTCTGTATTTTTATCCTCTGTGATATATGTGAAAAATATAAGAATATCGTCTGACATGAAAGTATAAAACGTGAAAAAATCAGATTCTTGATTCTTTCTTTTCTCTGAACTCCCATTGATTTCCATAATTCAAAAGCAGTGAAAACTCTTAGCTTGATGAAAAGTGTTAACGGTCTTTTTTTCAATCCCAAACTGGACAGAATTTTTTGAGTGTAGTCAAAATTGGCCTTAGGAAATTTTGGCAAGCTAAAATCTTACTGTGACCTTAAACCTAAATTTTGCAGTAACTACGAAACATGCTGAAACCCCTAACTTACGTTCTATTTACTTTTAAATCAGTCTCCGACAAGAAGATTTGACCTCAGATTCCAAAAGGCATAAAAGTGTCCAGGAAAATCTAAAATTTTTCACTGATTTGGAATCTGATGTTGCTCTTTTAATTTTGATGGTGGCATTCGTAAGTGAGCATTGTATATTGCTACTAGTTATAAAATAGTACAATGTGTGCGCAAAGATTTTTCATGACAGTTACTAAGATCTTTCAATTCCATCAATCTTTTGGGATCCAACAAATAGGAATCTTTTGACCGTCGAGCATATTGATGGTGAAACTACAAAATCTGAAAATCCTACTGTAGTGTGTTGGTGTTCCTCCTCCTCGTCTATTTTTTAAAAGAATATTACTTGACATTTTTGCATGAAAAAATCAGAGAATAAGCTCAGAAGAGCTAAAAAAAAGCCATGGAAAATTTTACCCAACAACAATGATCGGTTGGATTTGTTTATACATGCGAAGAACAACTATGTAAAAAAAAATAAAGTTAAACGAGACTATGTAGCTCAAAAACGTTATGCGTATAGTTCCTTTTAATTTAATTCCTTCTTACACAGTTCCTTTTAGCATAACAATGGTGCAACTGCAGAAACGCATTTCTCGGTTTGCAGACTTCCTATCTTACGATTTTTCTATGTGGAAAGCCATTAAATATAATTTCTTTGAAACTTTTAGTGGTTCTTCCTCTATATTTCAAAAATATTTTATGGAAATTTCAAGCCATGATAATGGTTCAGTCTCTTTTTAAGAAATTAAATAGGAGCTAAGACTTTAAAACTCCACACCTTAGTTGTGCATTTTTCTAGTTTCATTGCTGATAAATACATTCAACTTTCCCTGAAAAAAGTAAAATGTAACAAGAAATCTAGAATGTCACTAAGTGCAATACATTTTTTGTTAGTTTCACCATTGATTTATCAGTATCACTGTGATTGCTTCAATTTTCCTTGTCCGGACAGGCAAACAACAGCAACAATTTTTTAGATTCCTCTGCTGAAGTACATATTCAGGGAGGCATGAAAATGCAAAGCAGATTCCTCCATCAAACAGCAAGAAAGTCGCTTAACTTTTGCAATGTTAAAATTGGTAGAAGTGTATGACTTGGTAAAATTTGTGGATTTTCAAAAATTAACACACTCGCTAACTGATTGTATGTACCTACAAATTTACAAATACCCCTAAGATTAACATTAATGTTTTGCATAGAACACAATTACATTTGCTTATATCATTGCTGAAGTTAAACCAACCACTCTCACTCAAGAGGGAAACTCGAAAGAACTAAGGTTGATCAAGTCACTCCACTTCACAATTTTGCAGCCTCAAAGTAGCTCATTGTTCTCAGAAGTTATACTGAAATGAGTGTAGCATTGACGTGGAACCAACTGAGTATCCTAAGCGTTCATTTTTCCTCAAAAGGAATTTGTATCTTTTTAACTGCAAAAAGATTAGCATTCAAAGACTAATGATGAGTGGAAGCACAAAACCAGGTGCTTGAGTGCGATCAGTTATTGCTCAGACTGTGCAAAGCGTTCCTCAATTTAAAAATACCTAAACACGCTCTGCTTGATGGACTTTTTCTTGAGAAATCTTCTCTAAGTTTTGACCTCATTTTTTCATCAAGAATCGTTATTCTTGGGTCACTGCATGTTGAATGAGCACAGCACACCTACAGCACAATCTCAGCAACACCTGATGGTGCTCACTGGGTTTTGAATATCCACTTATAAAATGTGAAACAATTATGTTTAGGTTGAGAAACCATCCAAGATTAGTACTTTTAAGTTTCAGGCTGGAACTTTCTCATGACACACATGAAGCGTTTAAATTCTTGTGAGGTGTGCATCTAACAAGTCTGCACTTCGACAAATATATTTCGCGCATATTTTTCACTCTTTGATGACATGCAGTCGTCACAGTGACGAGTTTTGATCATCGTGTCAATCAGAATTTTAAGAGTTTTAAAACTTGTCTCCAAAATTATCTTAGCATTGAACTGAACACTACATAGGTCAGACAGGTTCATCAATTGTTCAGTCACCGATGGGTAAGAATCATGAAAACTTTTAAAATTAACCACCCCTTAATCTCGCCAAATCATCACTACCAATAAGATGTCACCAGACTACTTCAAAGTCAGATTTGACAATTTTTAATTGAATATTTCGTATCAAAGCCTCCCAATAAAATTTCTGGATTCCCTAAACATGGATTTACTCAACAAAAAGTCGAGGAAGTCTAAATTATGAGTTTTCTTTCTTCGTTCCTCTTTGGACCTTTCCTCGAATTTTTTTACCGCGTTGTTTGTCTTTATGTTTTTCCCCTTCATCTGTGTCGTTGATTGAAGATCTGTCTCAAAAGGATCCCAGCTGTAGGAATTAAGAGGGTCCAGATCCTGGTTCACCATATCAGACAGAAGAGGGTGCGGCTCTTTCGTCCTTTTTGCACCAGATTTCTCCTTCTGTTGGGCGCTTCATAAAAAGTTAGTGGTATCAGAATGTTTTTTCAGACAACTCGGAAAAAAATCAAGCTCAGGGAAAATTACGGTTCAATTATCACCGTGGGAGTTACCTCGTTGAATGAGTGATACATTTTTATTAAGTTCTCTGTTGGTTGAAGATTGGGATTTTTATCCTGAACTTGCTCCAAGCGTTTCGAGCGTTTAAATACTTTTCAGTTTCATAGTAATATGTACTAGTAATAAATATAATGTACTATAATTCATAGTATTATGTACTATTCTTGATATTGTATTCTTTCACGATTCATGAATGAAACTGCCAACACTACTATTCCCGTTAATACCAAATCACCCTAAGCTTTTCTTACATTTAGGGAGAAACAGTTGAGTTGTACACGTTTCAGACTGAAAGAATATTGTTCTCCCAGTGATCAACCGGAGAGAATTTTTTTTTTAAGCGTTGCGGAGGCAGGACACCGAGTGCGTCATTTTAAAAATCGCGCTCTGAAAACTGAAGTTCGAATGAATGCAGCGCGGGCAACCAAACACACTCATCGCCATTTGCTGCACAGAGTAGAATTTAAATTTTAGACCTTTTTGCGGCAAATTCTATAAAAAGAAATTTCTCAAAAGGTTTCATTCAAGGGTAGTTCATTTTAATAGAATAAATTTGCATTTTGCTTCTTGTTTTTGATCTGGCCAAATACCAAGTTTTGAAATCTAATTCGTCCCAAGAAATTTTTTGTTGGCAATTTGGAGCGATGTATTTATTTACATAATAAACCATCATAACCTCACAATCTTCTCTTATCGTGATCGTGATAGTGAAAGTAAATTCTCAGTTCTCAGTGCTATACAAAATTACATGATGCAATTTAAATCAAAACAAAAGTGCTATTTTACCAGTAGTATTGTTGGTTTAGTAGGATTGTTTTATTTTCATGATAGCTGTGTTTCAAAATTCGAGCAAAACCATTCTAAACTGAATGAATGGTCCTTCTGATTCACATTTGAATATGGATTCGGTTCACTTTCTCTCCATTCAACTTCTGTAACGTTTCATTGTTTTGTTCGTATTATCCCGACTCTCAATCATGAGTGCAGCAATTAATATGAAATTATTTACCGATAAATTCATAACTGTACTATCGCGAAACCTCAACAATCCATGGAAATTATATTCGTCAACACATTCCAATGTACCTGTTAATGCTCGCTTAGCACACTTTATCATGGGGAATAGCGTTTCTGTCCATTCTCTACCAAATGCAAGATGTTTTCTCCTGGAGAAGAAGAGCGTCTCTGTTTGTATGAAACGGCTATCTAGTTCGAAGAGTCCAGGAAGTCAGGGCATCTACTCCTCTCAGAGTACTCCAAAATTTTCTTCATCAGATATTAAGCGCTTGTTAGCCCTTGCAAAGCCAGAGAAATGGAAACTTTGCGGTATGTATCTATGTCTTCTTCATTTTTCAAGGCGAAAATTATGAAAGATGCCTGCAGCAAAATTTGCTTAGCAAAACGGCTCTTTAGTATAGTCTTCTAGGACTTTTTCAAGAGCTTTCAACATTGCCTACTAGAATGGAGAGGCCGTAACTACAATCCTGTGCCGTCATGCTAATAGATGAAACTCTGCTGCGGTTTAACATGTGTTTTTAGGGGAGAACACCTGACGCGTGCGGATAGCTTCTCGGGGGTTGATCTGATGCATAAATTCATAAGAACCTTTTTGAAAGAGGATGAAATTTCACTTCAAAAAACTAACTAATCCATTTATGACATTGTCTGATAATTGAGGAAATGAAAGCTCAATATCCTAAATCGTTACTCCACTCAGATTCCATCTCACTGCTCACGCAACTTCGGCCGGTCAAGGGCCACTCTGATTGGTCCATGCAGCAACTGCCTTACTCATCGATGCACCGATCACCCGGAGACGCTTGTTGTTTTTGGTAAATATCTACTAGCTTGACGTCGCATAACTGACTAGTTACGGCCTCTCCATTCTTGTAGGCAACGCTTTCAAGTATCACATTATGCTCTCAGGTATGTGTACACAAAATTGACACAGGAATAGTTTTAATTAGCTTTAAAAGTATGCACTGAGTGAAAATTGCTAATCGAATAGCCAAACTCTAAATAGCTTTGGGAATGCGTATCTCAGTCGGAATGAAGTTTTGGAGTTATTTCAAAGTGTTTCTTGGTCAAATTTTGTGGAAAAAATACCTGACATACCTTAGCGTCATGTGACGGAAATTATTTAGAACTGTTCTGGAATCAAGAAATTATCAATTGATCGATTGACTATTGAATGTTTCTCCTAAGTGCTAAAGATTCTCTTAAATACATTTGTACCAAAGGCATAGCAAAGAAGATAGAAAATGAGCCTTGTTAATATGAGGAGTGGTTTAAGTACAAAATGCACAACTTGGTGTAGGTATACGCTGAGCAACTACATGATCAGCAGAATAAATCAAATTTGGTCCACAAAAATCTGATCGCTGCTGTTCTGAAACTCCTCTCTGTGAAGAAAATTCAACAACGCAAATGTTCAGAAACAACGGTAACAACCATACTTAATTCTAAGGAAAAAAACTCTTTGCTTAAAGCGACTTTAATCGTTTTGTGTTGCTAAAAAATTTTTATCCTATACTTGGGATCTAATATATGCCATGTCAAAATACCTTTTTTGTAATTTTGCATTTTCCCCTCTTTCTTTGGCTCTTTTGATTCCTATCAGAAATATTAAATTTGACAAATCTCTGTTTTTATTATCCTCTAATATAGATCTTTGAGGGATTGACTGGTGTGAATGTTTGTTGTAGTAATCATGCATTAAAAACTGTAATATTGAGTTTTTTATCTCTGACTACAGATTGACTTTCTTTCACCTTTCCTTTCATAGATTCATTGTTTTTAAGTCTTGTTGCAGATCCTGTAAAATTGTTGTTATTCATCTTATTGTGGTCGCAAACATAATCTTCGCTATTGCTCCCAGTGGTAACCATATGATGCGCTGTTTGTGATGAATTGGTCCTGCTTTGGTTGACCAGCTCGACCAATTTATTAATCATGTTCGGAAGGCACATATTCGTACTAATATCCTCCAAAATTTTATCTATTTTCTCATCACAGAGCCTTTTATTTTTGCTTTGTTCATGGTTTGTCCCATGTTCTATTTCATATCGCGTTGTAGGAATACCTGTTATTAAGAGCTGTAAAGGTACATCGTGCATGGAGGAACTGTTCCCCAAGTTTTGTATCGTACAAGGCACAATTGTAGTTGATTTGCACATCTGTAAGTGTGTTGTTGTTTTACAGGAACACAAATGTGTTGTTGATTTGCAAGATTTCATTTTTCTCCTCTTATTCTTCTTATTGAAAAATTTGCCAAAATTTGATTTGGGTCTTGTGCTGACCAGCATAGGAAAGTCACGATAAGAAGTAGATGTATTCTGTCGGGGAATGATACAAGTTATTTCATCTTGTTTTGGAATTTTAGTAATGTTTTTCGAAGATTGTGTCTTGTTTTGCTGCTTCAACCATCTGGTGTGTAACAAGTTTTGTGAATCTCTGTGTCCGTTATCCTCAACATTTGAGCCAATTAGTGAAATTTTTGTACTTTTCCATCTTGCATCTGTATCATTTACGATCCATGATGTTATTAGAGGAGGTGAGTTTGATTTTTCAAATTGACTAAAAGCCACTATTATAGTACGTATTTTGTTACCTCTCTCAGGATTTTCTTTTCTTATAAGTTCAGTTTGTCTCTTCACAATTGATTCCCTTTGTTGATGCGAACTGTTAGAATGAAGATAGTCTAAGTGGTCTCGTGTCAATTTACTGGATTGATTCTTGGAATTTGGAGTGGAAACACCTTGATTCCAAAAAGCATTCACAAAGTGAGGAATCTTATGGTACAATAAATAGTTTTGGAACTCCTCCATTTTTTTGTTAGTTATGACAGAATTTTCAGAATAGTCTTTTTCAGGATTGCTACTATTCTTTTTCAAAAATAATAAACTCTTTAAGAGATGTTCAAACGGGTTCCCATTGTCTGATGAATCTGCATCAAAACGACTTATGGCCTTCGAACTGTTGGGAAATTCATCCAAGTTCACCGATTCTTGAAGAATGAGTGCTGTCTCATCATTTTTCGCTTTCAATTTGCTTATATCATCTGTCGCATTTGTCGTTGCAGATTTAGATTTGGAAAAATACCGAGAGGACTGCATCAATTGTGCTAATATTTGAAGAGCTTGCCCCAATTGTGAAAGATCCCTGAAGCTCTGTCGGGAAACTCCATTTCCTCCCTCACTTTCGAATTTTTTAGCTTTGTTTGGTATCTTTAATTCCAAAATTTTTCCCTCCATATCTTCTGAACCCTCCACAAGGTCTTTCTTTTGATTTTCTTTAACATTGCTTAAAGGATTCATCTCTGGATATTTGAAACTACTCTTTCCAAAATTTCCGAAGCCACCCCGAAATTTCTCTGACCAACTTTCATGCAGAGTATCTCTTGGAAATGTTCCAGAAGCCTCTCCACTCCCGCCCATTGCAATTTTTGATTCATTATTTCCTAAAGTTTTGTTTGAATTCTGTTTGGGATCCTCTTTACCAGCCCTTTGCTTCCATGGTTTGAATTTTTCACTTCTTACCAATGTAAAATTTTCCTTTTCATTGGAGTTGGAGTTAATGGAGGCTAAAGTGTCTTTCGTAAATGCCATCAATAGTGGATTTTTTTCTTCTGCAGTCTCATTTTGGCTCATGTGCTGTGTTTTATCTCCCAAAAACTCCATTGATGGTTTCATTGAAACTTCCTCTGATTTTGGCTGAAGCATTTCGGTATTGTTTGCCGGAGAAGGCGTCAATGTGTCTGTATAAATGTGTTCTACTAAGGCATCTAACAGACCACTAGGAATTTCTGGATGAAGAGAGTCAATAACATGGGGATTGTCTAAAAGAACATGAAAGCAATAATTTTTATCATGAGAAATGAATAACATAAAAAGAATTTACATAAGACACTTGGGTACCTAGTTTGATTTAAATTAAATTTTATCGTCTAAGGCTTGTTATTTTTAGAAGTATAGATAAATATAAGACAAGTAGTAGATAAATATCTATTAAGTCAGGAATGAAACAATACCTAAGAAAATTAATGATAATGAGACATAACTAATGTTGTCACAATCGACACCCTTGCAAAGATAAATTTTTTCTTTTCAAATGTATTTAGAAAGTAGATAGGTAAATATTGAATTTTTATCGAAGGACAGGCAAAAAATTACTCACAGTTTATTATTCCAAAAGCAGCACTCATAATTGTGGTCTGGACTACAAATGCTGTCAACATTTTGAGGACTTTATTTCATTGTACTGGTTTTTACATTATTTCCGATTCATTCTTAAGCCATGCTCCACATCACATAATTCCTTTAAATTTAAGGAAATTATCTATCACCTGAGATATCTTTCCTTAGTCTTTAATTATATAAATTCTCTGTGTGTGTGGTAGCTAAATCCTCTATTCAAAGTTGCTTTCAAAAAGTCAAGCTTATTCAAGCCAAAGCCTCTAGAATTATTTCCTTGATATTTGCTCGATAGAGCCATAACAGTCCATAAAGTGAATAATTGTTGTTATGGTTACATTTATTTCAACCCTCTATCCTTTAAATGAATTAAAATCAAGGAACTGAATTGCTTTTCAGCTGTTTCATATGCAACATTGCCATTCCTTAAAATAATATGTTGAATTTTTTGAAAAATTTGAATAATTAATTGCAACTTTAAGAGAAGATAGAGTCCATTAATATTGAAAAATCCCAAGAAGAATACAAGACAATCTTAGGACAGTTTTTCCCAGGAGAAGAAGAAGAGAAAATAAAAATAAAAACATTAAACAATTTTAAATGGCCAAGTTTTTTTTTTTTTTTTTTTTTTTTTTTTTTTTGTATTGAATCAATAAATTTTATTTTCTGTTTATTTTTTCTTTTTTTGTGTATTAATGATAATTTGTATGCATATGTTTCCTAGCTTTGCTAATTAATCTTAATTTATTTTTTTCAGGGGCCATTTGTCTTCTTCTGGTATCGAGCACTGTCACTATGGCTGTACCGTTCTCTCTAGGAAAGGTGATCGATATCATTTACACCTCTGACTCGGAAAAAATGAAAGATAATCTAAATTTTGTTTGTGCCATACTTATAGGAGTTTTTGTGTTAGGTGCTACTTGCAATTTTGGAAGGGTTTACCTCATGAATATGACAGGCAAGTTACAAAACAAAACATGTATTATTTTTAAAGTTAAGACATCCAGATTCCATATATCTGGTTTCATATTTATGTGTCTTGTTTTCTAAGCGTTTTACCAGCACCTTGTCACCCTTTTGAATTTTGAAAATGTTTTGCTTCATCCATGGAGAGTGATCAATTATCAAAATTGCATTTGATGAAGTGTTAACCCCTATATTTCATGTTTTTTTGGTAAATTTCGTATGGTCCTTCACATTAAGAATAGTAAAATATTAGATAGTTTTGTGAATAAGTTGATATATCATTCAATTTAATCAATTTTTATGTGAGGCAACTGATTTCTGAATGGAATTTCATCAATTACATAACACGAAAAAAACAAACAAAAAGAAACAGCATCATATTAACATTTCTCAAGTTTTCTGTGTTTTATATCTTTTTTTCAAGCAGGAGTGTTTGTATGTATTCTGTGAAAGTTAACTCGGAATCTTTATCATCATTTCAGGTAATCGGATAACCACGAGAATTCGAAAGAATGTATTCAAGTCAATTTTATCCCAAGAGACAGCTTTCTTTGATAAACATCGAACGGGCGAGCTGATTAACAGGCTTTCAGCTGATACATCCCTTGTAGGACAGTCGGTAACAATGAATATATCTGATGGCCTTCGGTCTGGTATCATGGTTGTTTCAGGTGTCTCAATGATGGTAAGTGATCAGACAAAACTCAGCGTCCTCTTATAAAATGACATTTTAAAGTACCTAGAGGTCTGCAGTAGGAACTTGAAGAATTACCAGTCATGTATTTCTTGCTCAGAATATCAACGAAAGTGTTTTTGCAACTGCACTATGAGATTATTCATTCTAGATAAAGCTAGTATTGTTATTTGTTACCTAATCCATTATATACTTTTCTAAAAAAAATTTTGTCTGTCTCTATTTTCAGTATGGTTTTTACGAAGAAAGAATAATTAATTTTTTTTTTTTCATGATCTAAATTTAAGAAAGTTTTAAAATCCTTCCGGTGTATTTCCTCTTCTTTATATTATGAAAACTTCATCCATAAAATATCATAAAAACTTAATTTTGATGCATTTTAGTGTCTTTTTCATCGTAATCCAATAATCAAGGCAATTCTTATCATCTGTTTCCAGTTTTACATGTCACCTTCCTTGGCGCTAGTTAGTTTAACTGTTGTACCACCCATTGTTGGTGTAGCAATAATTTATGGTCGTTTCGTGAGAAAAATTACCAAAGCTGTTCAGGTAAGGAAAAAAGTTTAAGGGTTGGCAAGTGTGTATAAATCTACATTGAGGCAATATCTGATGATTAAAATGAGTGACTTTTCGTCTGTCACCCCGAAAAGAAAAACAAAATAGGTTAGTCATGGGAGTCAAACTTGAACACATCTTACCATGTACAATGAATTTTTTGCCCAGCTGACAAAAGGACTTAACTACGCAATGTGATGAGCCCGGAAAAGCATTAAATTGTACGGACAAATGGGTTTATTGCCAAGTGTAGTTATGCCCCTATGTTTGTAGGGAATCCACACACATTTTATGAAAATCAAAAGTTGACCAAATACATAAAAAACTCATACCTGACCTCACTTGTATATGAATCAAGATGCATTTTAGCATCCTGAAAACAAGTATTTAAGGGTCTCTATAGGTCTGGAAAATCAGGAATTGTCAGGGACTCCGATGAAAAGGGCGGAAATTTTGGAAAATCTTGATATCTGAAAAAACCGGAAAAAAAAACGGCAGCGCTGTTCTCACAATCAAACTGAGTCTCAGTCTGGCTTGGAGTTCACCGCCCTGAACTATATGCAGAATAATTTTCAACAAGGATTGAAATTTAAATTGATTGAATGGTCAATACCTGAAGAAAAAATGCTCACGTATTTCTGTTATTTCTAGTGAAAATGATTACAAACACTTTTCATTTTACTTCTAAGCTAAGCTTGTAAATTGCCAATGTGAAAACTTCGGGAATTGTGGCTATTTTGGCGAGGAAAAATATGAGAAAGTCAGGAAATCGTCTCTAGCCATGTCTGTAGACACGTGTATTTTTTATGTTGATCCCAAATTAACTTTTTAAAAATACTTCTCAAAAAGATATTAATCGTGTAAAATTCTTTTATTTGGAAGCTCTCTGATTGAAATTTAATATATTTTTTCAGGATTCCCTTGCTGACGCAACTCAAGTTGCTGAAGAACGAATAAGCAACATTAGAACTGTGAAAACATTCAGTCAAGAAGAAAAAGAAATGTCCTACTATAACAGCAAAATGGCCACTGTTTTGGAACTAGCAGAAAAAGAGTCTGTAGCTAAAGGAGTGTTTTATGGAATGGTAATCTTACTTTAATCCAAGAGCAGGATTGTATAGTAACAACTTGCACCTAATAATGTTGAATAAGCAGCAGAAAAATCGTTTAAAATTGACCCATAGGGAAATATAATGTAATCATGTTTATGTGGTTTCATTCAATAAAAGCAGGAAACGGTAAAATCCCCTCAAATGTCAAGTTTCCAAATCATATTTCAGTGAAGATAGTGTCCTTCAAAAACCATCAAGGACGATATTATTGATATATTTTATTTATATCGACGATGTTAGTCGGCAATCACTTAACTCGGTTTTCGACGTCACAGACTCCCTGGCATACTTTATTTTTTAAACGGAAAACTACTCAACGGCAATTCTTTGAAACTGTCATGATTTTTCTTCTGTGAAGAAAATTCTGCAAAAACATCAAGGAATGATGTCAATTTGTTCTCATTTAAAAAATAACATAGTGGCGGAGATTTTCAGACACCGCAAAGGAGATATGTGATTGCAGACTTACACCATCGATATGATATATATGATATTATTGAAGTCAATGGTTTCTTTTTTACACTTAAGTTATATATCAGTGAGGAGCACCCTGTGCAAATTTACATACCACTGACCGATGAATTTAAGCTGCATTAAACCCTTTTTATACACTTATTGATGACCAAAGCGCGAAACCACATATCTCAGTCTGCAACATTGCAGACTTTCTATCATACTTTCTCTTCTTTTAAAATTGGTCCACGTAATTTCTTGATAACTTCTATGATGTTTTTGCTCTGTTCACAGAATATTTTTTCCAAATGAAAACTTTTTAGCATTTTTTCAACCAACCTCTTTCCTTTTTTCAGACAGGATTAGGTGGAAATGCCATAATTATTTCAGTTCTTTACTATGGAGGAGGGTTAGTGGCCGACAATAGCATCACAGTTGGTGGTCTTTCTGCTTTTCTCCTGTACGCAGCTTACATTGGTGTTTCCATGGGTGGTTTGACAAGTTTTTACTCTGAGTTGAATCGAGGACTCGGAGCAAGTGCAAGGTTATGGGAACTCACTGATCGCAAACCAGCTATCCCTATCTCTGGTAATTAATACAATTCAATTTCTCAACTTCTTTTAATTCAATCCTTTGAATTTCTAGTTTTTTTCAAATCCTACCATCCGGTCTAAATGAGGATTTGTTTGAATTGTATTTAAATCTAAAAACCGGTAATTTCTCAACTTCTTTTAATTCAATCCTTTGAATTTCTAGTTTTTTTCAAATCCTACCATCCGGTCTAAATGAGGATTTGTTTGAATTGTATTTAAATCTAAAACTATGAAACTCGCTGTGAGACTGTGACCTACTATTTACATGCTTTTTCGAATTTTGCCTTTGTAAGTAAGTAAGTTGTTTTTAAAAATAATTGGCCCTGGAAATAGAGGGCTATAAAGTAATTTAAACCCCCTTCCAGTCATCTTAATTTTGATCCTAAATAGAAGATATAATTTGTAGAGTTATATTATAAAAGCCCCTTTTTCTAAAACAACAGAATGTATCATGAGTTTATTATGCATTTCCTTTTTCTAGGAGGTCTCGTTCCTGCTGTTGCCCCACACGGTGATATTATCTTCAAAAATGTGACTTTCGCGTACCCAAGTCGAGAAAATTCGTTTATCTGCAAAAATTTGTCGTTACACGTTCCTTCATCAAGTATTACCGCAATTGTTGGGTCCAGTGGGTCAGGAAAAAGTACTCTAGCTTATTTGCTGTTGAGGTTGTATGATCCGCTGGAGGGTCAAATTCTATTGGATGGCACAGAAGTCAAACTGTATGATCCTTGTTATCTACGCAGTATTATTGGCACTGTTAGTCAAGTAAGTTCTAGCATCAGGAAATATTTTTACTTGCTCCTTCCTCCTTTTTTCTTAAATTTCAGTTTCTTACTTCAAAAGAGCCATGAGTCCTTTTCTTCACCAAGTATTTACTGATGCTAAGGCACACTTTTTAGGGCTCTACTGGACGAATTTGTTAATACATGTTTTTCTTTGATTTTTTTAAAAAAAAAAAAATTAGCTTTGACTTGAGCTTTTCTAAAAATTCTAAAAATCGCAATTTTCATGAATTTTAAAAAAAAAAGAACGAAAAAAAAAAGAAATAATAAGTAAGTGAGGCCCTCAAACTCTTTTTTCTCTTTTCGAAGAATAATAAGCAAAAACCATTTTGTTTGTAGTTAGAGATGAAAGCCAAGAAAAAACGAAAAAAATATTTTCAAGAATTCATCCGTGTAGATCCTTAGAAAAATCTACCTGAATGTCAAAAAACATCGTCTTGAGAAACACCTGTCTGAAAATTTGAATAATTAGAGGGAGTTCATCACTCCGTGTGTCACAAAACGTTGCATAACCTATTCAATAATGATCTTATTTTAAAAAACCCATTCTTGAAGAACAGCTGAGGATATTTTGAATCCGATCAGAAAACAACCTGAAAAAATTTGTTTTCGACCAAAAATGAGTTCTGACGCCCCTTATTATTCCTATCGAACAATCCTTTGTTTTAATTTGTTCTCAAGTAATTTAATCCAAGGAATCCAATGTTTTAAGAGGAGGTGATCCAGTGTCACTAGAGGGGACCATTTAATGTCTTGAGTGCCGGCAGATTTTGATTTTGATTTTCATAGAAGTTGACTGAACTGTAGTTAAAATGTGTTTACAGGAGCCAGTTTTGTTCTCTGGAACTGTCCGAGAAAATATTCTTTATGGTGCTAACAAGCCTGAATCTGTATCTGAGGAACAGCTCATCCAAGCAACCAAAGAGGCGAATGCCTATAACTTCATCATGAACGATCTTCCTGAAAACTTCGAGACCCGAGTTGGTGAGCGGGGCATCATGTTGTCTGGTGGTCAAAAACAGCGCATTGCAATCGCCCGGGCGCTCATCAAGGTGTGCAATGCAAAAATAACCCATTTGTATTAATGCTTCAATTTGAGCTTCTCTTATCGATGGCTAGAGTGCGGGACTATGTGTCTCCGTTTGCTACGTTGTAGACTTTCTGTCATACTTTATTTTTTCTTTGGAAAACTAGTCAACATAATTTCTTGATAAGTAAAAACACCTTTTGATTTTTCTTCTCTGTCAGTAAAATATATTCTCAATAGGTTTCAAGCCATGAATTAGGCATGTCTCTCCTCAAAAAAGTATAACTGAAGCGGAAATGTTGAAACAGCGCAATGGAGATACGAAGTTTTGCACTGTAGACATCGATACGTGCCTTGCAATCTCAGTTGAAAGAAGTAATGTCTGAAGAAAAATCTTGTTCATGTATTCATCCATACATTTAATATAACCATATATTTACTATTTTATAGTACTATACATTTATTATCAAATTCCTACTTCTGCATGATTTTTCATGATATGGACTTGCAGTTTTTTACACTTTCCAAACCATTTGAAGCATAGTGTTTCATTCTTATTTTTTTCCAGTATTTAATTTTTCTTCTTTTCTTTCAAAAAATGTATTTTATCCCGAACATCCATGCAGCCACTTTGACTGCAGATGAGTAATTACTTAAGAAAAGTAAGTTCGTATTTTTGTAGGCACCTTTATGTATGATAAGTCATTCCCTGTAAATTATATTAATTTTTTATTTTGTTTGTTTCAGAATCCAAGAATCATTGTCCTGGATGAAGCTACAAGGTGGGTATTATAGGCAAATTAATTTTATAAGGTGGTTGAACCATTACAATTTTGAATACTTGGCCCACTCCATCAGATAAACACTCTTTTGTATGTGATGATCATTATTCTTTTCTCTAATGGGAGAAATGCAAGAGCACAGTCGCTACTGATCACACCAATACAGGTTGTTGAAGCCAACCCCACAGCCTTTAAAAGACAAATTCCTCAAATGTCTTCATCCATTGCCAAAATCTTTTTATGATGTAAACTAGATTTGACTTCTATCTAAGAGATATGAAGACATGAATAATGGGTTTGTTTTAAACTTTTTCTAGAGCAAAAAGAAGATGTGTTATGTAAAGAAAATTCCTCTAAAATCATGATGGGTGCATCAAGAACGTCTGAATTTCTCTCTTAACTTCAAAATTGAAGCAAGAAATTTGAGCACATCCTAGCTTTTTGCTTCCAAATGTATACTTTAGCAAAGACATAATGTGGTACAGGTGTGGCACCTCGGTTTCACAACTCTTCACTAAACTTGAAATGGCTTACATCATATGATACAGTTCCTCAGATAAAAACAAAAAACAAAAGTGCTTCTACTAATTAAACATGATGAGGAAAGTACAACAGTGAAGATGTAGGTTATGCAGCATTTCGATGGTGTAAGTCGACAATCACATAACTCGTTTGCGGTGTCTGAAAATCTCCGCCTCTATGTTATTTTTTTAAAGGAGAACAAATTGGCATCATTCTTTGAAGTTTACGCAGGATTTAATTCGCACAGAGAAGAAAAATCACGGCAGTTTTAAAGAATTGCTGTTGAGTAGTTTTCCGTTTAAAAAATAAACTATGACAGGAAGTCTGCGATGTAGCAAACCGAGTTATGTGATCGCCGACTTACACCGTCGATTTGTTATTTTGTTGATTTTTAATTGAAAAACTGTGACACATTCCAGTTTGAGTTTCACTTGAAGTTGTGACCTTGAAGTGACTCCTCTACATCAAATTATGTCTTTGTTTCAAAGTTGCATTAGTTAGTTACAAATTGTAAAGCCTCAGTGAAGTAATATTTTATATATCTGATTCATATAGTCATATTATCATTGACCCTCAAGTATTTTTCTAATATTCATGTAATTTTTACTGATTGAGTTGAAGCTCGTTGTTTTTTTGGGACTAATTGTAATCATTTGTAATTTTTCAGTGCGCTTGATGCAGAAAGCGAGTATCTAGTCCAAGAAGCCTTAGAAAAAATTACCCTGAACCGCACAGTCATGACAATTGCTCATCGTTTATCGACAATAAAACACGCAGGTAAGTTGTCAATTGTTTTATGATGGAGTAGAATCTATTAAATTATTTGTTCATGGACAATCTCGGTAAATTACTTCAAAATTTTTTTAGCCATTTCTTAAAGATCACTAAGCATGATAAGTAGACGGGAGTCTCGAAGTTTGGTAAAAAAGAGAAAATTATGTCTTGTTGCTAAAAATAAGAAGGATGAAAAGAAGTAATCCCTGATTCAGTTTACTAGTACTGTACTGCTTGCCAAGGGAAAGTGCTGTATGAACATTCAAACGCTGCCAAATTTTCCTTGATAAAATACACGCTTNGGGGGGGGGGGGGGGATATAAGTTTTCAATGAATTATTTTCACAAAAATTTGCATATACTTTAGGTTGAATTGTATATACAATTTTCAAAACAAACCGGAAAAAAACGTTCACGAGTTGAAGAGGGTTCTTTTTAGGAAATTTGGTACTTCTGATCGACCATTGGCTGAAATTAATTTAATCTTAAATTGTAATTCAAATGTTTAATAAACACAAAAAATGCATTTGAGCCTTAAAGATTCATTTTCAGGGGCAACTCTCTCTTTTCAGTATGTTTTAAAATCTTGCAATCTCCAGTTCTCAATTGATATATGTAGTTCTGCCATTTTCATATCACACTAATGTGTAAGACTGCAAATTGTTATTTTGAAAAGTAACATCCCTCATAGTATTTTTTTGATTTTTTTAGATCAAATAGCTGTTCTGGATCAAGGGCAAATTGTTGAGGTCGGAAATTATGATGAATTAATATCAAAGAAAGATGGTACTTTCTACAATCTTATTAAACATCAAGCATTTTCATCTTGAAGATTACGGAGGTACTGATTTAATTTTATTAACCTGAAAGCTTGGAGAGCATTTAATAGCTTACTTCAAGGGTTTTCTTACGAATCCTTGTTCGTACGCTTCTGGTACACCTTGTGCAGTTCACCCCAGTTAAATGGCTGTTGTCAGAAATGGCTTGCTCGATTGGAACTTCTTTAGTTCCAAGTTTAAGCATTGTTGTCCTGTATATCTAAGTATTGGGTGGCTTGTAACACTCTTATCCGTTGTAACAGACAGTGATAGATAACGGTGAGGGTCCCCATATTGTTACTGCTCTTCAACAGGACTGTTTCAATACCTCTTCACGAATTGACAGGACACTCTTAGCTCAATGATTTAATAAGTTGATTTCAACTCTAGCTGTATCTTTACAAAAGTAATGTTTAAGGAAATTCATTCATTTGAGCTTTTAAAGCTGATTCAGGAGATGAAGAACATAATAGTTTTCTGAACCTGACGAGATAATTTTTCTTTCGGAATTTGAAATACGGCTCCTGTCTTAGAACCTCAAAAGTAGTAGGCATGTCCTTTGTAAGTGCTTGTTTCATGCCCTTTACATAATCTGCATTTTTAAGGTAATTTTGAAAAGCTGTAAAAATGACAAGAAAGGAAAATCTACTATCCATGTAATTTTCATAGTACAGAACTTAAAGTGACTAATCAGCAGTAATTTTTGCGGGAGTCTTTTTAATTATCCCAAGAAAGCTGAACAGATTTGGTTGAATCAAAATTTAAGGAGGACACTATAGGTTTAGTTTTGGTCTGCTATCAATCTTGCTAGGTAAATAAAACATACTTTCTTGAGGACAAAGATCTCTTTATTAAGCTTAGAGGATCACACAATGCATTTAAGATGGGTCAATGAATTTGTTTAGTTTCTTCAAACCTGATCTAATACTGTTTTTGGTCTCTTAATTTTCATGAAATGGTGACTGGATCACAATTTGGAGACATTAAGCCTGTAGAGGTAAATTTTTTTATGAATGTGCAAGAACTCGTTCATTGCATCCTTGTTCAAAAACACGGTTTAAAATTAAAGGTCTCGATATTTTCCTTTGCAAACACTTAAGTGTAGTTCAGTCAGTTTTAGGTACCTGAAGGACACAGTTGAAAAATTATGTGTTCTAAGAATAAGCGTATGTATTTGCCATTCTGTAAAAGTTCCATGTTCTATAGTTTTAATCTTGTGAACTTTTCTCATGACGTCTTCTGTACCTAAGTTTACTCTTCTTACTTGTTGAATAGTTTTGTTAAGTTTTGCAAGTCTAATTTTGTATTGTTTTCTTCTTTCTTTTTGACTGGAGTATAATTTGTGTGAAATACACTGGTTGCTTGGATAGCTTTGACTCTAATTTGTTCAATTAATTTTTTCTGCATACTACTTGTATCTCTGTCTCAATGTGAAAAAATAAAAGTAGGGAAAGACTTTTTAAAAGGAAAAAAAGGAGACGTACAAACAATGAAAAATCGAAACTCGGTGAATTTCATTTTAAATGTCACTTGTCTTTATTTAGTCATCATGAAGTTTGTATTTTCAAAACATTTGAATGATTGCAAATCCTTTTTTTTTCAATTTCAAGAAAGCTTTGATCACTTTAATTTTTTTTATTCTTTCTATGGTGTTGGCATGTCAGAAACATACCTAGCATTCATTTTCCAATTTTCCTTCGCAAACTTAGTAAACTTGGTACCTTACAATTTGATGCCAGGGATGTGTAGAGTGAGGAACATTCACCTGTGAAAGTTCTTGAAAAACTCTTCTTAAATAAGAAAATAACTGTGTAAAGATGAAACGGAATGTTATATGATTATGGGAACAGCTATCAAGCGTTAACAAAGTCTTATGTAGACAGTTATAATACAATAATTAGTCATATTTTTCTCATCACACTCTTCCGAGCTACTTCCATTGATTTTATTGTCCCTTCGAGTACTGTTCTTTCAAAAGTCTTCTCAATATTTTTCCGGACGGGTTTTTGGGAATTGCATCAGTGACAATAACCCCACCCAATTGTTTGTACGGCGCAACTTGTTCAGCGACAAATTCTTTGACTTGATCTATTTCTATTTGAGCCCCTGGTTTAGGAACTAGAAATGCAACAGGCTTTTCTCCTGTTCGCTCATCTGGAACACCTATGACCCCAGCATCCAACACATTAGGGTGACTTCTGAGCACAGCCTCTAACTCTGCTGGTGGCACCTGAAACCAATCAATTTTCGCAAATTACAGCTAGGAACTAATCAGAGGATCCAGATTTTGAACATTTTCAAACAAAATGTAACTGACCGACTGACCCTCCTATGCTCAGTTCAGTTTAGTTTAGTTATACTGTTTACAAGTTATGACTGCAAAACCAACGAAAAATTGCTTTCTGGGCTGTTTGTTCCTGCCCAGTTGAAAGAGAGAGACCAAATAGATTTCGATTTTGTGGTCAGCAGAAATTGAAAAAATATGGGGGAAAATAACCCTTATGAATTAGTTGTGAACTCAATTTAAGAATTTTCTATGTGTGCTCTGCACTGTTTTCTTTGAGAAATTTCAATGTAGAAATATATTTTGCTGTGCTTACCATCTTGTCCTGTAATCCATTCTAGCTGCTAGAATATTACTATTACTATACTATACTATTACAAGATTATTAGACAGTAGTTCTCACCTGGAATCCTTTGACTTTTATCAGTTCCTTGAGTCGCTCCACAATGTAAAAATTTTTCTGCTCATCGTAGTAGCCCACATCGCCAGTTTTGAACCACTCACCATCAAAAGCATTAGCAGTTGCCTCCTCATTTTTATGATAACCTTTCATCACCTGAAAAAATTGACACAAGTAACCCATCAGTAAGTAGTTGCAACAAGTGAAAAGTTCCTATTACATATAAATGTCATTGCTTTTTTGCAACAATTTCCAGATAACTGTTTCTAATCCTCAATTTTCCATCTATGGCCGTTAATTTTTCAAATAATACTTGTTTCTTCTCAGTGCTGTCTACTAACTAATTTTAAGAATACTTCAGATGAGCTAGGCCGTTTTTGCAATGCATCAAATTTTCTTTGGTTCATGAAGAGTTTATAGTTACAGCTCATGGTCAAATACAAATAAATGGATGATTTCAACTCTCTTGTGTGTCAACACAGGGGTAATTTTCCTGTTTGAAGTTAGACTTACTCAACGTTTTCATCCATCGGACTTCTCTCCATATTCAGATGCATTGATAACTGAAATTGAGGGTATGAATTCAAAGAGACCATAACTTTTTCCTAAAAGTCTCTCAAATAGACTCACTTGAGGTCCGTTGACTAATATTTCGCCTTGTTCCCGTGGGCCGAGATTCTTCCCTGAAGTATCAACTACTCTGATTCGTGTGTTAGGCATTGGCACTCCGACAGATATGAGTTCAAACTCTTCCCGGAATATTGGAGCAAATACAACAGGTGACGTCTCAGTCAGGCCGTACGCTGCAAAAAAGAAAGTGGAAATGCATGTTAATATTAGTGTATTAAAAGTTTTCTGTCGATTTATTCTTCTCAAAAATTCAAAGAACTCTCCAGTTTGACGCTGAATATTTCATAAATACTACATCAAGATAGAGAATTCAAATTCCAAGAGCTGCAGAAAAACATAGTTTTTTGCCCCTTAAACTGAATGGAAACTCAATAATTTTAACTTTACCCTTGCAGGTAAAAATAATTGCTCCTTTTCAAAATTTACAAGTGAAGCGCACTCTTACTTTATCGTTTCATCAAAACGTTCTCTTCGCAAATCATTTCCTCAAGAATGAAGGCCAAGAATTTTTGGTACAAAAAACCAAGTTTTCGGAGGTTACTCTGACTGAAAAACGATGCCTAATAATGTATCCATTTTAATTGCTGCATTTTTTGTTTTGCATTGTTAAATTTTTAAGACTCTTTTTTTCTGAATCGAACACCACTCTCTCGTTGTGTCCACCTCTTAACGTTAAAAATTAGGCGATCGGCAGAAAATAGCCGCCTAGTTCTTACCGTTTATAAAAATGAATTCCTTTCGGTTTGGCACTTTATTGAGCAACCTTTCAATGTCTCCGATTCCTACTGGCCCAGCACCATTAACAGTGACGCGAACTGCTTTCAGAATTTCAGTCGTGACCATAGGGTGAGATCCGAAGAACAAGATCAAAGGAGGAGCGCAGTAACACACACAAGTCTGAAATTATTGCACACCAGAATAAATAATTGAATTGTAAGATGACCCCTTTGAATCTTGTAGCTAGTCAAACTACCCTTAAATCATCACCTCTCTGACGTAAGGGCATATCTCAATTTCCACTAGAGTCCTGTTCTCCATGTAACTCAATGCTTTCCGAGGCTCATGTTTGGAAATAGAGATGTGCCCCTATGCCGGAGGAGCAACGAAATAAACACCATTAAGAAGAGAATCTAAAAATGAATGTATCAAAAAATCTTCAGGCTGAAATTTTTGGTAACAGTTTTGTCTTCGTTCAAATTTAATACATTTTGACATATTATGGCTCTCATAGATAGTTAATGAAATAATTGGATTAATTTCCTTGCAAATAACTCCAAAAATATTCTAGCTGAAGTCAATATTCTGATGGTGCAGCAAATGGATTATTTTTAGTCTTTTGAATCTTAAAAATAAGCGTTTGCATAGTCGAATGAACATGAAAAATGAGAACTATAACTTTACTACGTTGTTGATATTTTGTTTCATTTTCAAATTAAGCTTCACCACATCAGGATAACAAGTTTTTAGAAAGTCAGGGGAAACCTGGAAGAGTCAGTGCATGTAGCTGTGGAACCTTGAAATTCTTCTATCAGCCATTATATCGCATTTTTTCAGTTTCAACCGATTTTACTTTTGAAAATCTTCTTGAAAATAATTTACTGAAAAGAAATAGTGCAAAAAAATAAATCGGAAAGCCGGGGGATGGTCAGGAAATTTTTAAGTTAAAAAATCCTGAAAAGTCAGGGGATTTTTCAAGCTGAGAACATGTGTCATTCTGAACGAAATTTTCACAGAAAATCTCCCTTTGTTTATTCAAACCAGCTCAAAAATTGAGCACTTTAAGAAGCACTCGTAGATAAATGATTTTGCTCAGGCACAAATTCAATTCCAACAACTCACCTGAGGTTTTTGGTCGCTGAGAGCTTTAGAGAAAGTCTGAGGATCAAATTGTGGTAAAGAGAGCAGGTGCAGACCCTGTGAAAGGCCTCGAATCATAATGACTGAAAGTGCATAGCTGTGGAAAAATGGCAAGACAGTGGGTAGTACATCCTGATGTTCTGCTGCAAAAATCACTTTAATTATTCTCTTGTAACAGAATAACTTTCTCTGTTGCGTTTGTTTCTCATTGATGTTGCAATTTTTGCATAATTTTGTCAAAAAAAAATCATGTTTCAACAGAACATTATATACCTATAGCTAACTTACTCTTTATGTAGATAATTTTTGCATAATTTTTAAGCAAAAATCTATCAGAATAGTTTCCTACGTCATACATCATAAGAGCCATTAAAGAATTTATCAACATATGATTAAAGCGTCATTGCCACCAGGATAGAATACCCCTCTTTTGCAGTGCAAGGAGTGACCAAAATTATTCTCAAGCAACAGGTGTTGAATAGCTCTGTATTATTACCTTAGTATCTCACCTGTGGTTTTTGATCGGTGAGAATTTTCAAGTACACTTGAGGGTCAAATTTTGGTACAGTGACCACGTGCAGACCCCTGGCAAGACCACGAAACATACTTGTCGTCAACGCGTAGATGTGGAAAAATGGCAGAACTGTGGGTAGCACATCTTGATGTTCTGCTGCAAAAATTCACTAACATTATTTCCTTTTTTGTTCGTGGGGTTTATGATTTACTAGGATATCGGCAGTCTCCCCGAATTTGAAGGGGGGGAGGGAGTATTTCCAATGAAACAAGATGATAATCTTTGTACTTTTACCTAATTTAATTTTAAAATCATTAAAAAAAATATCACATTTCTGCAATTTTTTTTAACCGCTGAGGATTCGGCGCGACAGCTAAATCTTACCATAGCACCATACCTGTAGCAAATCACATAGCTGGGCTATACGAAGCGATAAAAAAGTATGCAGCCGGGCTATAGTTCTTATCGCCGGGCTTTACACTTTATCGCCATCGGCTATAAAAGGCTATAAGAAATTGTAGAAATTCGTGTGCTTTGGAAATCATTAAGTTTGGTACGGAACCACCATAATATTCACAAAACACACATTATATTTTCCTTTAATACATATTTTTTTTCATCAATTAAAATGAGAATAATCCATACAGGATGTGCAAATATTTCAAAATCATGAGTTGAAAAACGCTGACTCCGCGAGATTAAATATTAGAGCCTAACACAAAGCGGAGCGGCGACGCACTGGCGCCTACAAACCTAACAGGGATACTTCACGCATGGCGCAATGCGTGAAGTATCCCTGTTAGGTTTGTAGGCGCTGAGGCGCTTTTCGCGCTGGCTGCCCGCCCGCCGCGCCGAAGCGTGCCACGGCGCTTGAAGCAACTATTTCACACCAGAGGTATTGCACAGTATCATACGAAATTGAAGGCGCTCCAACATATTAGGAATGGCAGGCATCCTTCAAAAGTACGGAGCTTTCCGCGCAAAATAAATCAAGATACTACGGTCCAAAAATAGAGCGGTAATCCAAAAACAGTCCTAGCATCCGTAATTAGTAACATTTAGCATACACTTTATCGCCTGGCTGTTGTTCAATCGCCATCGGCTATAAAAAGCTATAAGAAATTGTGCAGCCGGCTATAGAAGCTATTGAAAATCTTACAGCCGTATTAGGTCTATGGTATTTTGGAACACAGATTCTACTGCCAATTTTTACCAGGGTATGAAAGATACTGAAAAATACCGGTTCCTTTTCATGTTTCGCAAAATTTAAATATTGTAAGTTTCTTCAGTTTTTGTGTGTTTTAAGGCGGGTTGCTTACTCCAGCCCCTGAAAAATATGAAATATTTCAGTCTCGTGAAATTTCATGAAATATTCCACGGTAATGTCCAATTTTTCATAATGACGGGGAAACTGCAAAAATTCGTATCTCGGTTGCGGCGTTTCGAAATCCCCTTTCATATTTCATTTTTTGAGAGGAGACCGAACCAGTATCATGGCTTGAAGTCTGCTTACAATATTCTTTAAACATAGAAGAAAAATCATTGAAATTTTCATTAAAGGACGTTCGGTAGTTTTTCATGTAGAAAATAAAGCATGAGAAAACGTCTTCGACGCCCCAAACCGAGATACGCTTCTCTGCAGTTTCACCATCGATATTTTTCATTTGACGCGTGCAAGGCTGTCGATGAGGGAATGCGAAACTCACAGGTGGTATCCATGAGATGATTGACGGGCTCTGCCAGAATCTGTTCTATGTTGGTGACGATGTTGCGGTGCGTGAGCGCGACACCTTTGCTGAGCCCGGTCGTCCCGCTGGAGAAGGGCAGGCAGGCCACGTCGTCCGCCCCACTCGCCTTCCTCACGTCCACGTCCAGATCCGTCTTGACCATGTCCCCGAAGTCCCAGCTCCCCGCCCCGCCCCCGCGCCCCTCGTCGTAGGACACCGTGATGATCGGCATCGCGGAACCCAGGCGAGCCGCCACTTCCTTCACCGTCGGCAGCAGGGACGGCAGGGTCACCATGCACTTCGTCCCGCTCGTCTTCAGTTGGTGGAGTATTTCGTCTGGAACAGATCACAGCAAAGTTTTACTCTCTGAACAAGTCCTGAGAGAAACGCATGACGCCAGACGCCTGGCAGGGTTACCACAGTCAGGGAAAATCGGGGAATGTCAGGGAATTTTAAAAAGTCAGGGAAAATGACGAAAGTGTCAGGGGAAAATTATTCTAAATTTACCTATATTAGCTTTTTAGCAAGATTTTTCGGCTCTCGGCTAATCGTAATGCGAAAACCAAAGTTGAGCTGTTAGTCGACTTTAGAAATATACGCAATAATTGCGACTCAGGCCATGCTTTAATAATAATAAAAAAAAAAAAAACAATGTCNATTTTTTTTTTTTTTTTATTAAAGCATGGCCTGAGTCTCAATTATTGCATATATTTGTAAAGTTGGCTAATAGTTCAACTTTTGTTTTTGCATTTTAGAATGGATTTGACGTTTAGAACAACAAATTTTGCCTGGAAACTATTCCAAATTATGTCTTTTTTGCCATATTGCGTGTTTCATTTGTCAGGGAATGTCACCCAAATGTGTCGAGGAAATCAGGTAAATGTTAGGAAATTTCATTTTCCTTTTGTGGCAACCCTGGCCTAAGACGCGTAGTGCTTCGGGAGGTTGGACTGCGAAGCGGTCAGGGGACGTACCGACGTACCCCCTAATTATTTGATTAAATTGAGAGTATGAGAGCTATCCATGTACTCTAACGTGTTGCCATCGCATTCCTACGGCGCAACGATACAACTATTCCTACTCTCCGGAATGCGTGAGGTATCACTCCACAATTGAAGGCGTTTTCGATACTGCCAACTTTCTGTATCGGGATTCTTGTGTAGTTCAAGTAGGGTGTCTACTAAAACTGGCTGGCAAATATTAAGTACTTGTACAGTACTTTTTTAGTACCTTTCCAAGAACTTCAGTTTTTTCGGTACCTTTAAGTTGGTCGTTGATTCGAATTCACTGTTTAGTTTACCGCTTGTTTGTTTTCAATTTTGCTATGAAAATTATCCATTTGATTCATTCAAAACTACCTTGAGCACATTTAAACTAGTTTTGTTCGATCAAAACTGTATACAATAGCGGCAAAGGAAACCCGACAGGGCCAGCGTGGAGGCTACTTCAATATTAATCTTCCGTCGCATTGCCACGGCGCAGTGATACAACTATTCGTACTCTCCAGAATGCGTGAGGTATCACGCCACAATGAAGGCGTTTTCGAAATTGCCAACTTTCCGTATCGGGATTCTTGTGTCGTTCAAGTATGATGTCTACTAAAACTGCCTGGCAAAAATGAAGTACAATTTCCGAACTAGTAGGCACCTTGTCATTAGAAGAGTGGTATTTTGATGCCATATTTTATTGCTATGTGTACTAGTAGTTTGCTGATACACTTTTTCAAATGAGAGCCCCTCATTTGACAAAGTGTCCGAAAAGTCCAGAAATTGTACTGCTTTTTTGAGGGCGGGCCGGATGTACTGAGAAAATACGGAAATTCTCTATAAAGGTGCAGAATTTTGTGTTTCACAATACCTCGGGTGTTTTTTGAAACGGTCTGGAAAATATGCGATCCGCTGCGTAATGATTCTTAGAGCAGTATTTTCCTGCTAGATCGAGATAGTACAGCCAGTTGATCCTCAGGGGCTACCAATGAGCTTCGAATTCCCTGGCTACGTCATTTTTCTTGCAATTTGCGAATGAATTTCGACAATTTTACAATTTCCTCACTTGAAGGTACAAAAGAAGTACTGCATTTTTCTGTTATGAGGCACTGCATTTTCTGGAAAGGTACTAAAAAAGTACTGTAAAAGTACTTAATTTTTGCCGGCCAGTTTTAGTAAACATCCTATACTTATGCGACACAAGAATACCGACACGGAAAGTTTCGAAAACGCCTTCAATTGTGGAGTGATCCCTCACGCATTCCGGAGAGTACGAATAGTTGTATCGTTGCGCCGTGGCAATGCGATGGAAGATTAATATTGAAGTAGCCTCCACGCTGGCTCTGTTGGGGGTTCGATTGCCCCGTAATGGGGGTGCGAATGCACGATTTCCCCGTATGTCTAAAGTTTCCACGGCACTCCAAGCAAAAAAGGAAAATTAAATAATTTGAAGAAGGAAAACTTAAGACTTGAAGATTACTTTTAAAATAAAGCTAGTTATTTCCAACTTTTTGGAGCAACTAAATGAGGGTATTCTGTGTAATTTTCTTCCGGTCAGGAAACCTGTTTTATAATAAGCTTATAGACTCGTCTGAACACTTACCATCTATTTTTGCCCATTACCTGGAATGGAAGGCGAATCGTAATCGAAAGAGGCTTATCTAAGCACCCTTCTCCTGAGTCAAGCTCGAAGAGTATGACTATTTTAACTAGTATGACCCATTAACGCCTAACGACTGGAATTGAAGGGTAACCGTGCTCGGTTAATAATATAAAGCGATCCGCCGAAACACCTCCTAACTGCTGGCATTAAAGAGGAATCGCACTCACTTAATAATTCAAAGTGATCCGCTTGAGCATCTCGCACTTGCGAGTCAATCTCGAAGGATACGACTATTTCAACACATAGGATATATTTTTGCCTAACAGCTGAAATTGATGGGAAACCGTACTCACTTAATTATATTTTTGCCTAATGGTTGGAATTGAAGGGGAATCGTACTCACGTTTGGTGTAAATTGGATTGACCGTAGAGACGAGGATGCCAGCCTCGAGAGCGCCGAGGAGGATCAACGGGAATTCGGGGATGTTGGGGAGCATGATCGCCAGGACATCCCCCGGTTTCAGGCCGCTTTTCAGGAGGGCCTTCGCGAACCGCCGACTCAGATCTCTTGCTTGGCTGTAGGTGTAGCTCCGACCCGTCACACCGCAAGTCTATCGTAACATATGATTGAAACTATTATTTTCCAAATCTCGTAAGCACCAATCTCTATTTTGGTGGTACACAGCAAAAAAAATTCAAAATTAAAAAATCGCATTTTCGGGCTATTTTCGAAGGTAAACAAGAATGTTACAGCACAGAGCATAACAGAGGGGGACACCATCGATGTTGATATTTTAAATTGTTAGTCTACATAGCTGCCAACATTTTTTCTCATCAAAACATCAAATTTACGTTTTCCTCCACAAAATTCTCACGATGGTTATCATAGCCCCGGTCTCCCCTATCCCCTAAAATTGTGGTACTACCCCAATTCGTTGGATGATATGGACATTTTGAATTAATTCTATTATTAGTACCGCAACATTTGGGTTAGTTACCTAATTTATTGGGGTACTACCAAAATTAATTGGAAATGTCCTTATCATCCAACAACCTCGTGCTTTTTTTTCCGTGTAGAGGGGTTGTTTTTTCTTAGTTTTCTCTCGTATAATCAATCATGTCTAATTTGGACGTATTTCTGCCAAACGGAACTATATGCATTGAGACATGAACCCTGAGACCCACAAGAATATATGCATGACAGGGCTCACGCCATAATGTATGTACCTACTTCCGTTTGATAGAAAACCGTCCATTTCAAAAAAGCCCTCTAAAAGAAAAGTGCATTTTTCGGAATTCGAAGATTGTCAACGAAGCGAATAAAACGGGTTTTCTTGTTTTTCTCACATTTGCAACTTTGGCGCTTAGGTACGCGATTTGGAAATAATAAGATCAGTTTCGAAAACGATTGAGTATCGTGAATGTTTGTCAGATAGGTAGTGTAGCTTTCGGAAAATGCACCTTTATGATGTCTCAAAAATATTTGAATGTCTGTTCAGGAAATTTTAAATGAAAGCTGAGGTAGCATACTTTTGTGCTGAGAAAAAAATGCCGTATGAGCATCCAAATGTTGCAAAATTTACTCTCAGGAAATATTTTTTTCTGAAAAAAGTTATACATATTTTCCTTTGACATTTTCGGATACTTTCGATGAAATTCGGAAAAAAAAATCTCTGAAAAAATGTAAGAGAAATATTAATAAAACCCGCAAATTTGTGATTTTTCAAAGGAAATTTAGCGATACCTGAAGGCTCATACGGCGTTCTTCCTTAGCACGGTATTATAGTATACCAGATGACGTTCTTGGCATAAACGCTACGGGCTCAGAAAAGTTGAGATTCGTTTAATGAGCGACTTATCGACAGTGTGCCCTCAATGATGGAGCGCTTGCTTGTGTGAGGAATGTTTGATTTAAGTAATTATTCTGATGTAAAATTTCACGAGAAAATGACGGTGTCATTAGTTTTCTCTGAAATCAATTCCTAAGCTCAAAAAAATTCACAAAGTTGAGGCCGTATTGAGGAGGCTTCTCATCCTACGTTGAGAGTTCGCCTTTATATATAGTCAAACTTTACATGTGTAGATAGGAACCAAATACATTAGCAGGGTTGTCGTGATTTGTCTTGGAGTCCTCAAGCAAAATGACAACTCTGCTGACGTAATAGCTTCCTTTCTATGCATGCAGAGTTTGAATAGATATAGAGTTGGACTCTCAACGTAGCGTAGGATACTTCCTCTGATACGGCCTGAACTTTGAGAGCTGTTTTTTAGTTTTGGAGTTTATTTCAGAGAAAACCAGTGGCAACTTTGTGTTCCTCACGAAATTTTACACTGCGATAAGCTTATAAATCGCAAATCTCTGACTTATGCAAAGAACTCCTTTGCGCTCTCAAAAGCGCCAATGAATTTTTAGGACCATTGCAGGTGGTATACCCACTAATACCCACTATGTATACAGCTAACCTGAGCGTTATTACCTGCCAGGAACGAAAATTGAACAGCGCATCGTCCAAATTTCTCAAAATAGATAGCTATTGTGCCACTCCGGATCAGGGCCAGATTTACTTACTTGCCGCCCATGGGCCGCCTATATTTTGCCGCCCCCTTCTCATTCATTAGGAAACATCAATGAAAACCATCAAGTATATGTGCCGGAGGGGAGGGGTGCATAAGACGCGTTTACTCGTGTTGGACACATTTTTTGCGAAAGCCCTGTCAACACTACTTGCAAAAGTTCACGGAACTTGGCGCGAATGTTAAGTTCCGTAAACCTATCTCTGTGTGGACAAGGCCTTCCATTTATATAAAATAAACGAAACAATTATGAAAGAACAAACATAAATGTGGTTTGATTCTTTTAACTTCCGCCTCCGCGCCGCGCTGACCGCACTGCGTTTGATGCAATGCGTGAAGTATTCATGTAGTCTTGTAGGCGCTAATACGTGTTACATTCCGACCGCCGCGTCGGGGGTTTCTCCTTTTCATCTCAAGTTCTCGTCATCATTGCTCTCTGTGCCGTTCCGTCCCGGCCAAATTCAATGTTCGGTTTCTCTCTTAGTCGTAACTCGACTAATTAAAGGTGCTGTCTATTGTATCACAGAAAGATGACAGAATCAGAGATATACTCTCAAGAAATGAGACCTTTTTTCGTTTGTAATTTTTTTTCTGAATCCGATTTTTCTTCATACCTACATTTAAAAAATTGCAAAATTGGCCGCCATGGGCCACAGTCCATGTGGCCGCCCCCTAAATCCGGCCCTGCTCCGGATATATTGTGGTCTATACCTTAAAATAAAGGCGCAGCAGCATTTTACTACTGTGCATGTTTCTACACACATGCAACCTCCAAAACCCTAGAAATTGCTGGTGTAGCTCTTCGTAATGTTTTTGCCAAGAAAACGCCACCGATAGGCGCTCGTCTAATTTTTTTTAACTATTTTCCTGGGTCTCAATGCCCTATCAAATAACAGTACAGACAGTTCGACGACTCGAAGCAATTTCGTCCAATCTTCCTCTATCATGTTCGAGAGGGGAAGAAATAATGCAAATCAAATTCCATGCAAATGAAAGAGACTCCTCAGACTCATTAAGCCTGTCACTATGCTTAATGAGTTACATACATTTTGTTTTGGCGGAGAAGTCCCACAACCGCACCAATGCAACAAAATATGACGAGACACATCGAAGTATTGAACCAAGGACACTTAGTTTTTATATTTTATAAAAAGAAAATAAAAGTTAACTCGTATTTTCTCCTGGATTTTCTACACAGTATTACAGGATGAATCAATAATGAAAGACGCAGTGAGTTTTTTTAGTTCGCGACGTCGTAGATATTTTGTCATATTTTATTTTTGGAAAAGAACTCTTAAATACCTAAAAGTTTTGCTGATTTTCTTTAATATCGTCCAGCATATACCGTGAAATTAACTGTATTGATTTAAGTGTACAAATGATTTTCAGCGTGTTTTATACGGTTACTTTCAATTCGCCTTCAGGTGCATCCGCAGCAATTGTTGTTACGAATATGTTGTGCGTGCTGATCTCGGAGCATTACATACTTGACTCTTCGAAGGCGTTTAATGTGCGAGAGTAGAGCACCCTGTTGGAGCACAGCAGAAGTGAGATTGAACGAATCGATTAACCTCTACTTCGTTCGTTCTCTGACAGATGGCGCTATTTGTGCACAAAAAACGCCTTCAGAGAGTCGAGTATGTAATGAACCAGAATCAGCACGCACAACATACTCGTAACAACAATTGCTCCAGACGCAGCAGAAGGCGAATTGTTAAGTTAAAAAATAGAATATGATAGGAAGTCTGCATGTAACCAAAGGGTATGTATTCGATCGAAATGAATCGAACGAAGAATATAACGTGAACCGATCAACACCCATCCCATGGACAAATAAATAAAAAATCTGATCAAAATCAGTAGAAAACTTGCATTCACTATGAACATTTCAAATTGCGGTATCTCGAAATTAGGATCAGCTAAGATTTTGATTTTCCGCGATTTTAAGTCCACACGTACCATAGACTCACCCCCCTGCAAACCGTTTTTGGGTACATTTTTGACGCATTCTTTTTTTATTGCTTCAAGACCACTGCGTTGAATAAGTGTTTAAAAAAACAAATTGTATCGAAAAATCTATAAATTCAATGACCCCATCTGAAAAATGTATTTTTGAACTCATATACCTACATTTGCGTTCTTAAATTCACTAAAAAACAGTGGAGATGGACGGAGATGCGTTTCTACAATGATTATTGGAATTTAACTTATTAATGTTGAAAGGAACTTAGTGAAAATGAATGAAGTCAAAAGGAACCATATGCATAGGAACGTGCGTCAAAGTTCGTCGTTTTACTCACCAAAGAACGTAACTAAATTTTCAATGTTGCCAGATTTTTCCGCCCAAATTGTATTTTGACCAGGAAAATTTTCACAATTTCTAAATTAAAATTCACTAATTTTTCTACTGATCTCATGCAAAAATCAGGAGAATGTCAACAAAAATTGCGCTGGTACAGTCTTGAAAAAACTGTTTTCATCACTTTTGCAACCTTGGAATGGAGTTACGTTCCATCATGCGGGAGACGAAAAGTTCTTTTTTATTTCATTCATTCTCAGATAGTGCTCATTAGCATAAATACGTCCAATCATAACCATCTGTAATAACTTTTACGCGGTAAAAGTAGTACTTTCCTTCAAAGAAAGAAAATGAAGTTAGCGGGCCAACGGCTCCTTCAGGCAAGGGAACTGCAAGGAGCTTCCTACCGTGCTAAGTAAAAACGCCGTATGAGCCTTCAGACGTTGCTAGATTTCCTCCTATAAAAACCGAAATTTCTGGGAAAATTGTGAATATTATTATCCAAAAGTTTCAGACCATTTTGTAAGCAATTTAATCTAAAATATCTGAAAATTTCAAGGAAAAATATGCATGAATGTTGTCAAAATTACATGTTTTATCAAGGGAAATTTGGCAACTCTCGTATGTTCATACGTCGTTCTTCCTTAGCACGGCAGCATAACAATCAGATGATATGCGCTATCTTCAGCTTTGCATATTAGAAGATGAACGTAATAGACATCACTCATCGCCCGATTGGAGCTTCAAGGATGTCGGACCTCTCGCATTTTGAATATTGGATCACGATCGAGAAAGGTCATCCCATTAAGAATACATCACGCAGAGCGTTCTCTGCAACAGGTTTTGCCTTCTCGCGTACGCTCAGAGGATCACACCTTGCGCCGCGCCGAGCTATGGCGTTTATAACGTGATTCTACTCCAGCAGTGTAGGTACCTACTCGTAGGCCTTCGTAACTCAATAGGGTTTATTGCTCGACATTCCAGTAGCAAGAAAGTCAACATTGCAAACAATTGGACCGAGCTTAACAGAAACGCACAGAGGCGGATCCAGCGATCTGGTAACCCCGGATTTCCTCCATTTAAACCTATGTTAAATAATCGATTTTTGTCCGAGCCCAGGCCTTTCTAATAATCGATACATTTCCATTGGTTTAAATGGAAGAAAACAGCGTTGCCAATCTGCTGGATCTGGGGTCTCAATTATCTGCAATAATCGAGTCTGGGGCAACGTCCGACTTGGGTCCCGTGGTCCCGTGTCGGTGATTAAGTAACCGACTTGGGTCCCGGTGGACTTTGCTCCCGATCGAGTTGGGTCCCAATGGACTTGGGTCAGTCCTAACGTTAAAGGAAGATATTAGTAAATTCGGCAACCGTGCCTCGCTTTGGATTCGCCGAGAAGCAACACAATCTTTTTTCTTTTTAATCTTTTATTTTTCTTTCATAGAAAAAACAATACAATTGTTCCTATTCATTTTTATAAATCAGGGAAACAACACGGAGAAAAAAACTTCGTGCGTGGGACCCGAAGTTTAGGTCATACGGATCTCTGAAGTTTTCGGATTGAGCATCTGATCACTATTTGCACAGCACCACCGCTCAACGTTTTTGCATAGTTTATTATGGAAACAGAATTTATAATTGTTAATCACTAATAACTGTTTGCCTTTCGAACTGAACATATGCTCCATAGCTGCTCCGACGCTACGTCAGACTGATTACTGATTACTGATGAAGTGTGTAAACGACACCTACCATCACACGGCCGAATGACTGGGAATCTGATAATACGTGAGACATTTCATCGCTTACATAGTTGCCAAACTAGCAAACTTCCTGATTCAATGCCGATTACGCGGGACTTAATTAGGTTGGAACATAAATGCATTGGGACCCAAGTCGGATCTCCTTAATTGACCGCGGGACCCAAGTCGGATATTTTTTGGGGGAACGGGACCCAAGTCGGAAACTGCGGAGTCGGGAACTACCGCGGATACTTAGTCCGAAATTAAGCTGTTTTTCTCGGATAGGCGATCGAAAAGGGTGTATTTTAAAAGAACCTATCACATATCACTGTACCTGTCAAATGGATGTTATTTGAATCAAAAGGAACTAGATCTATTCTGCCGTGCTAGGGAAGAACGTCGTATGAACATTCGAGAGTTGCCAAATTTCCTTTGATGAAACATGTGTTTTTGATGACATTCATGCACATTTTTCTTTAAAATTTGCAGATATTGATTAAATTGCGTGCAAACTTGTCTGAAAATTGTGGGAAAAAATATTCACAATTTTCCGAGTAATATTAGTTTTTATCGAAGGAAACTTGTCAACGTCTGAAGGTTCATACGGCGTTCTTCCTTAGTGCTTCCTCATTCTGATATGAGCCCTGAGATCCATAAGAATGCGTGCATGGCAGGGCTCATTTCACAATGGACAATGTTCCTTCAGATTTAAATACGAGTCTAAATTATAGACGAATATGTAACAATTGGTTAAATATGAAGGAATTTCACCTCAAGGAACTTATTCTGGCAAACATCATTTCTGGAGGAAATTTTTTATATACCTATGGAAGTTTGCGTCATGCATGCAATTGGAGTACTTTTGGGCCAATCCTACCGAAAAACCGCGGATAATCGAGACCCTATAGCTACTGTATGCTTTTTCTTGAATTTGAATTTCTGATAAAAGAAGGTTTACAACTAGTTGAGCTCAGAACTACTATCCCCGCAACTCATTTTTTCTTCATTTTTGTTGATTACAAGTACCTCTCCTTCTCTATTGATAATAACTATTAAATATCTTCTCTTCATCTATTGATTTAATCTATTTAAGTGCTGTTTTATGTACAGCACTTAAATATTACTAATTATATTACTTTATGTATATATTATTCTACATCTCCTTCTCTATTGTGAAAGTTTATCTGTTCTGTGATTATAACAACGGTAATTAAACTTATAATTAAGTTAATTTCATATGAAATCAACTCGTTAGCGTCCAATTTGCCTCTTACTTGCCGAGGAGTAAAAGTTAAAAATCCATTGAAAAATTGTAATGGAGCAAAATAAAAAAAGTATCCGATAGAGGAGCAGGGGCATATCAATGGCTAAAGTGGAAAAATAGGTACCCGGATTGCAACGTTAAAAAATCTCCGATTATATTTGATTTTTTTCTTCAAACAAAAACCAAACCATAATATCTCTCCAGGGCCGGATTAAGGGGGTGGCCACATGGGCCGCGGTCCATGGCGGCAAATCTATAGGGGGCGGCAAATTTTGCAATTTATTTAAATTTAGGTATAAAAAAAAATCGTATTTAGAAAAAAAATTACAAACGAGAGAAGGCAACATTATCTCTCATTTCCTGAGAGTATAATAATTTATAATTTTATCATCTTTCGGGGATACAAGAGACAGCACCTTTAATTATTCAAGTTAAGAGAGAAACCAAATAGTTAAAACACGCAATTTGGCCCGGAACGGCTCGACTTAGAGAGAAATGATGAACAGGACATGAGATGAAACGGAGAAGCCCGCGGCGCGGCGATCGGCATGTAACACCTATTAGCGCCTACAAGACTGCACGAATACTTCACGCATTGCATCAAACAGAGTGAGGTCATTGCTTTCAGCGTAAAACGGATAGCACCTACAAGACTGCGTGAGTACTTCACGCATTGCGTCAATCACAGTGCGTTCAGCAGCGGTCGGCGTGGAACTCGCAGCGCGTACAAGACTGTCGGAATACTTCACGCATTGCGCCAAACACGGTGCGGTCTGCGCGGCGCAGCGGTGGAAGTTAAAATCATTAATCCACATTTATGTTTGTTCTTTCATAATGTTTTCGTTCATTTCTTATGAATGGAAGGCCTTGTCCACGCAGAGATAGGTTTACGAAACTTAACTTTCGCACAAAGTTCCGTGAACTTTAGCTAGTAGTGTTGACAGGGCTTTCGCAAAAAATGTGTCCAACACGAGTAAACGCGTCTTATGCACCCCTCCCCCGCTGGCATGTTCATTTGATGGTTTTTATTGATGTTTCAAAGAGAATGAGAAGGGGGCGGCAAGTAGGTAAATCCGGCCCTGTGTTTCTCTCAAACCTTAAAATATTTTCTAATATTTTCCACCTTTTGAAGTCATGTTACCTATTACTAGATTACTCCTTTCCACAATTGGGTCATTGAAATAAAAGTGATTCAAGTCGAACTTACCAGCGCTTTGTGGTTGGACCATTTGTTCACATTTTTCCACACATATTCAGGGATCGTATCTTCCAAGATTGCTATATCCGGAACTGGTGATTTTACGATATTATCACTGGACGTGGAGGCATATCTCATCCATGCTTGGCAAAGTTTTAGGTCTTTACTTAACCTAAAAACTTCACGATTAGGTTTCTTTACTACATTTTGGGAGTGAAGTTGCCGTCTCGCTTGGTTTTTACAGATGTCAGTAGTCACTAAGATGAGTCTTCGATTTAAAACGCCCGCCATTTTTTACATGGAGTTTTGCCGAGTTTTCCAAGCAGCTTTTATCGCCAAACCCTGCAAGAGAAAGAGATAATACGATTAACACGGTTTCGTAGAGTTTGCTATCAATAAAGTAGTATTACTTGGACTAAATTTGTAACTCGGAACTATAATTTCTGACTCGATTTAGAAACAACCTTTATATCATAGTTTCCCTATGTACATAAATGTTTTTTACGTATGAGCCAGGAATTGTGATTCCCATTTGCACTGGGGCAAAAAAAAAACACATTGGATCTAGAGTCCAGACTCTTAAAAACATCGACAAGAAAAAGTACTCTTGATTCAATCGGCTTTTTGCTTAAATCAAGAACCAAGCCTCTTAATTTGAGCGGATTTCCTTTTAATTTAAGCAAAAATCTGATTGAATCAAGAATATTTTTTCTTGTCAATATTTTCAAGAGTCTGGACTCTAGATCCAATGTGTTTTTTTTTTTCTAGTGTGCAAAATGAGGGGACAAGGCGCGTAAGTGCAGTTTTTGAAAAAAAAAAAATGAGATATTCATGAACACAACTAAAACTACTTAGTTTGAAAGTATATATTCTGTGAAAAATTCACAACTAAAATCCCATTTTAAAGCATCGAAAGGTGAGTTTAAATTTCCGTTTTGCCATAAAGTTCCATGTAATTTTGAAACTTTAAACACGTATTCCTTGAAATAGCAAAAACTGCACTTATGCGCCTTGTCCTCCAAGTCCCTCAATTGACGGACGAACCTCACCCTCTCCGTGACTGTCGAAGGTGGCTCCTGCTTTTCCTCAATTCAACTGAAACACAGCCTTCATCGACGTAATTGGTGAATCCAGTTGAATTTAATCATGCACAAGCGTTAGCACCAAGATTAAGCCTAGCAATTAGCGACCCAGCGGTTGTACTTCATCATAGTTATTACCTATTTGAGCACCATCCGAAGTTATGTTATAATTGTTATTAAGTACACTGAGTCAATAATCTCACGAACAGCCTAAGAAGCTGCGTGTGGACGATTTCTCGTAGTAAGGCGTACCCTCTTTTACATTGTAACCAAATCATTCGATGCAAAACAAGCGGTGATGCCAGATTGTGTTGCAAGTCGCGGCATATGCAACTGGAACTGCAGTCTGTGTTGCGGAGCCTCTGATAAATCTTTGCTTCCGGGAGGGGATGAATTCTATCTTCCAGCATATTTTTTTAAACTTTTTGCAAACTTTTCGCGGCATCTCATGATTGTTCTTGAGCAACTTTTGAGAATATCGATACTTAACCAAGGTACGAAACCACGTATTTCCGTTTGCAACGCGTTGCAGACTTCCTGCCATACTTTATTTTTCCATTGGAAATCTTTGCAACTTTATATCTTCAAAACTTCGTTGATTTTTCCTCTCTACTATAGCAAAATATTCCGTAAAAATGTTAAGCTATATACCTATAGTTGACTTGGTTTTTTTTCGAAAAAATAAAATAGAAGCAGAGATTTTGAAACACCGCATTACAGATACGTGGTTTTGCACTCTAGCCATCGTTATGCAAGATTGAGGTAGATTTACTCCGTTGGCTATTAGTCGATGAGAGGGGCTCAAATCAGTGAAATCAGGATATATTTTGGTCAGTTCCGCACTGAAAAAAAACACATTGGATCTGGAGTCCAGAATCTTGAAAACTTTGACAAGAAAAAGGACTCTTGATTCAATCAGATTTAAGCTTAAATCAAAAGGAAATCCGCTCAAATTAAGAGGCTTGGTTTTTTATTTAAACTTAAATCTGATTGAATCAAGAGTATTTTTTATTGTCGATGTTTTTAAGAGTCTGGATTTTAGATTCAATGTGTTTTTTTCAGTGCATGCAGTTAATGAGCTTGAACTTCCCACTCCCCAAAATCTCGTGGAAAATCAAAGCACTGAGCCTGACAATCGATGGTGATACACAAGCCTTAATACCATTGTAAAAACCAAAGCTTTGTGGAGGGAAATCGACAGTGAAACTACCAGACAACGTATCTCGTTCGCGGTGTCTAAAAATCTCCGTTCCCATTTTATTTTTTTGAAGGACACCAAATCAACATTATTTCTTGAGGTTTTTACGGATTTTTCTGCGCACAGTAAAGAAAAATCACGAAAGTTCTCAAGAATTGACGTTGAGTAGTTTTCCTACTAAAAAATAAAGTATAACAGGAAGTCTACAACGTCGCAAACCGAGATACGTGGTTTGGGAGTTTCTCCATCAAAATGTTTAATAACAGGGAAGTCTGGTGGGTGTACCTCCATGTATAAAAAGGGCCTTGGGGCGCCCTCCCAAAAATTTTAAAAAAATCAACTTATCTGGAATTTAATTTTGCGTTAAGTATTTCCATTCAATGGAGGGCAGGGCTGGATTTAGGGGGTGACCACATTGGCCGCGGCGGCCCATGGCGGCAGATTTAGGGGGCGGCAAATGTTGCAATTTTTCAAATGCAGGTGTAAAAAAAATCGGATTTAGAAAAAAAATTATTAACGAGAAAAGGCGAAAAAATCTCTCATTTCATGAGAGTTAAAGTATAGTAATTTCTAATTCGTTCGTCTTCGGTGATACAAGAGACAGCGTCTTTCATTAGCCTTGTTGAGAGAGAAACCAAACACACAATTTGGCCTGGTGCGGCACGGCGCAGAGAGCAGTGATGACGAGGACTTGAGATGGAAAGGAGAAGCCCTCGGCGCGCCGGTCAGCATGAGACACATATTAGCGCCTACATGACTCCATGAATACTTCACGCTTTGCGTCCAACGTAGTGCGGTCAGCAGCGGTCGGCGTGAAACGCATAGCGCTTACAACACTGTAGGGATACTTCACGCATTGCTCTAAACGCAGTGCGGTTGGCGCGGTGCCGAAAATTAAAATTATGAAACCACATTCATGTTTATTCTTTCATATTTTTTTCGTTCATTTCTTATAAATGAAACGCCTTGTCCACCCAGAAGATAGGTATACGGAACTTAACTTTCGCGCAAAGTTCCGTGAACTTTTGCTACACGGAAAAAAATGAATTGCTGATTCAACAATTAAATTGCTAAAAACAGTGAGTGCAATGTTTCAACGTAGATTTTACAACAAAAAAAAATGCTACTCTAACCACATTGTAAACTAATTTAACCACAGGGGTGGTTAAAGTAGCATTTTTTTGTTGTAAAATCTACATTGAAACATTGCACTCACTGTTTTTAGCAATTGAATTGTTGAATCGGCAATTCAATTTTTGTGTAGTGTTGACAGGGCTTTCACAAAAAATGTGCCTAGCACGAGTAAACGCGTCTTATGCACCCCTCCTCCTCCGGCACGTTCACTTGATGGTTTGTATCGATGTTTCAAAACGAATGAGAAGGGAGCAATAAAATACAGGCGGCAAGTAGGTAAATCCGGCCCTGATGGAGGGTCATTGGATTTTGGCGTGATGAAGGTAGATTTATCGTTAGTAATAAGAGAAACCTGCTAAATTGAAGGGAAGCAATGAGACGTCGGCAAAACTAACGTGAATAATTTCGACCACAACTTTTTCAAAAACCGCAAAAATACTGCAAAAAATATCCGAAAATACTTTAGTAATTTCCAACCTCCAATTCACAACAGATGAGTTTTAGGGGTGAAGTTTCCTCAATTCAATCCACAAGGGAGGGGGGCGAAAAAAAGAAAACCTAGAAGTACGATTCGTGCGCGTATATGGTAAATCCGGCCCTGGAATGATTCACAATGAATTAATTTCGGTTGCTGTCTGCCTGGATGTTTATCATGAAAATGATGAGGCAAAATAAGACGAATATATGCGACTGATTCTACAAAATATGTGTTCTTTGCTGTGTACTCAAGGCAAATCGTAGCCTAATAATTATGACAACTCACGCAACACCACGAGTTTCCGCAAATATTTTCTTAGTCTCCGACTCGATGAAGAAAGTTTAGGGAAATATCTGGTTTGAAAGAGACCGCCGTTCCATTAGCGACTTTGGCAAAACGATAACCCTCGTCTTAAGGTGATTTGACGGACGCCATTTTTTGTTTCAGAGCGACGTGCGATTTATCGCATCGATTCGTTCCATAATTTCAGCTACTTGTCATTTTTTTTTCGAATTTTGAGATCGCATTTCTGTTGTCATGAGACTAAAGAATTCATGTACCAAATTTGACTGAGAAATTCAATTTATTAAAGGCAGGGTTTTTTTAGAGGGAAAATGCCGCATTCAAGACTGATACCGAAACTGCACTCGAATGCGGTATTTTTCCTCTGAAAAAACCCTGCCTTTAATACGTTGAATTTCTTTGTCAAATTTGGTACATGAATTCTTTAGTCTCATGACAAGAGAAGTGTGATCTCAAAATTCGAAAAAAATGGCAAGTAGCTGAAATTATGGAACAAATCGATGCGATACATCGCACGTCGCTCTGACACAAAAAAATGGTGATCGTTGAATCACTATAATCCATATTTGACTGAATCATAAATAATTGATTATTGATTCTTCTACCTCACCTAGAAATCCTAGAGTCTGTAGAAATCGATCTTTACACATACTTTTAAATGAGTGAGGTTGAGACCCAGTCCAGCGTCCTTAAATTTCAATAATCAAATTTTCGAAACTGCGCCTTCTTTATTTACTGTATTATTTCCAATCATAAATTAGTTTCTAGATGCCATAAATGACCACAAAGGTTTCCTGTTCCACCAGTATTCTCAAACGTACACAAAATTTGTGCGAAAATAAGGGGAAAAAACTAAAAAAATTTAGGTGTCCTAAATTGACGATGATCATAATTAACTACATGTAGACTCACAATTTTGTGACTTAAAGACACACTTCGACTTATCTTATGCAAATTAGTGGGAATATGATAAAAATCAGTTTCTTAACTCTCATTAAAGCACACGAAAATCATCGTATGTTATCTTTGCTCACAGTAATGGGAGACCGGGGCTATGTTGACCAGATTTTTTGAAAACTTGTGTCTGAAGAAACAGAAG